TTTTTTAAAAAAAAAAACCCCGTGCCCCCCCCCCCCCCCCCCCCCCCTGCCCTGCCCTGCTCCGTCCTCTCGAGGACGCGTGGTCAATGGTCTAACCCCCAAGGCATGCAAAACATAAGAGTACGCCCCCCCCCTCCCCCCCCGCCCCCTGCCCGCCAAATCATTGCATCAAGACACATGTTATTAAGGGTGCGCTCACCTGCTGGAGCTGACAGCACAGCTGTTGCAACAGAACGACTCCAAACAGAGGCAGAAACACGGGCAGCTTCTCTCCCCGCAGTCGCCCGCGCTCATGCAGCACACTGTTTCAGAAAAGCAAAGGCGACAGGGGTCATCATCAAGAGACCTGACAAAAGCTGTTTAGAAAGCTGTGAAAAACAAAGGGCGGCAAAGGCTACAAAGACCACATGTTAAAAAACAGTGGCGATAAGTATTAGCATCAACACCCGACGACCATAGCAAGCGCCAGCAAACAACCAACAGCAGCAAAAACAAGGAGCAAAGAGCTCTGAGAGCAAGCATGTCAGCCTAGGTCAGGAGAACAAAATGACGCATTGGACATGGGTCAAGGAGCGGACGTGCCAGCTGCGTACCCTCGTTCTTTGCGGTGTTTATGCGCAACGGGATGGGAGAAAGGTCAGCAACGTCTATTACAGGTGGTGTTCCGGTTCTCCTGGAGAACGTGGCTTCGTTCTTTCATGAAAAACATCCGTCAACACACAAAAACACTACCTCCAGGCATGTACCTTCGACCAGCACAGAAAAGGCGCGGGGAAAAACGCCAAAAAAAAACGGCAGTCGATAACTCCCGTACACACGTACCTTTAGGTTGAATCAAGACACGATTCATTTTCTTATTCTTCTTCAATCGGCAAATACGGAGAGGCGCTCTCAAGCACTTGGACCGGTCTCTTCTTTTGTCGACTCACTTGGATAGTAGCCCTGACAGCATAAGTAGTTTTCGAGGTTTCCGTCGAGGGCCCTCTTCCTGACGATGAACTGCGCGCAGCACGTGCACAGGCAGCCGAAGCAAAACCCTGTCCGGCACGAAAAACACACACACACACACAAAAGAGAACGCGACATTCGTAGGGCGACACCAAGCGCAACAAAAAAAACACAAGGAGGCACGGAGAGAGTGAGGGGTGATACACATCATGCAAAATGTTCACAGGCTTTGTTCGACGACGCACACACTAGTCGACGACAACTTAGCTATGGCAATTCGCAGCGCGGGCGGAAAGCCAAGGACGTGCAACACAATATATTCTCGGAAGAGAACCGCCTTCGCGAGAAAATTATTGTTGATCTGTACTTGCAATATGACAGAGGGGGAGTTCGTATCCTTGTCCCTCTAACATTAACAGTACCCCCTATTAAAACCAAGCTTACTATCCTCGCGAACCCTACTGGTAGAAGAGGGAGACGGGTTATGCGACACACGGATATGGGGCGTGGGGGGATTCTCTTTTGATCCACCAAGTTGGGGCGAGCGCGGCACCAAAGACAATCAAGCTGCGGCGAAAACGTCGTCCTGCAGTGTCGAAGTGCTCGCCGCATCCAAGCACGCTGCCAGACCTCTACCCTCCCAGCTAAATACACCAGAGCAGCTGCACCAGAGACAAGTTCGTTCAGCCTACAATATTCCTCATGGAACTGCTCTATGCGACGTGCACCAACACGATCCGCGTGGAAAGCAACCTTTGCAGGAGCAGACTCGACTCCATCCATCATGGTACCCGAGATGATCTACTAGTTACCTTCCGATAGAGTTTTTTTTCTTGAGCGACAGACCTTCATTCGTGAAGAAAATAACCCCCTCAACGTTAACTCACAGGGGCAGTTCTTGCACGGTGCCTCCATCAATCCGATCTGGAACTGATTGGGGTTTCCGTAGAAGGGGTCGAGCTTCGAGCCCGGCACGGGGTCATCCTTCACGCAGATCAAGCAGCACGCCTGGAAAAACAACACGAACGACCGGGAACACAAGATAGCACAAGATGTGATCGATCGATATATAGATAGAGGTAGCAAAAGAGAGAGAGAAAGAGAGAGGGGGAGAGAGAGAGCGAGACGCAAGCATAGGCGCTTCCTATTGGTCATGTTTCATTTGCGTCACGCACGAAACGGAATAATACGACACGCGCTTGAGGCCATCATCACTGCTGTCGCAAACAGGCGTCGAATCATGAAGCACGTTCGGCGGAGGCAAAAAACGCTCCTGTGACTAGGGAATAAAAAAAACACAGCCCACCACCAAGAGGTTACGTATCAAAGTGCGACGAATTTCATGTGCGTTCATCGGATGTCACCCTAGCTAAACAACACGTTCATGTTCACGTTCATGTTTACGTGGAGAATGTGCCACGCGTGTGCCCCCTCGAAGAAATCACGGCTCGCAACGGCAAGCATGAACCTGCTGCTAGAGTCAACAGGGCTCGAAAGCAACTCTCAACATCGGGCGCCGCCAAAGGGTGCCTGACAAATCCATTGGTAGCCCTCCTTGTTCGTCGGCATATGCGCAGTTGAAAGAAAAGGACTACTGTACATTCTTTACCACTACTTACGCGCGGTGGATGGGCGTGTACCCCGTGCATGACACGTTAAAAACTCTAGCTCGCCCCGAGCGATAGGTAACTATAGGGCTTCCTACATACTCATATGTATCTATGACTTCAACTTTTTTTGGTGCTCCGGTTTCTTTTTCTCTGCTGGGACAGCGTTTTTTCTCGCACTTTCTTCTGTATGGCACGCAGAGGACCCGTCGGTACATTACCCGTTACGTGTGGGGCTCGCGAGACACCGGTGGTGCGCGTTAGGACCGCCTACAGTCGCTGGGACTGGCTCTTTCTTCAGGGGTTGGGAATCCGAACAATAAAAGCCTCCTCGAACGGGATGAAAACTGAAAACAGAACACTTCTTTTTTGCCCCGCGCCCCCCGTCACACGCCTACACAGCTGCTGTGATTGTTGTGTACACACCCACCACACAGTAACTGGCGCATGCGTACTCGCAGCGGGGACCAAGACTCTTGGTGTTGCTCATGGAAACACACCACGAGACACGGAAGAAGCCCTCTCGCACACTCACTCTGGCAGCGATCATTTAAGAAATGGTACGTAGCAGTCTACGTCTGTGGCTGTTCTTGGGTAGGTTGAGCCTCTTTGATCCGTTGTTCGGGATTGCGTGAAAAGTCCCGCAGACTATGGGAAACATGATCACACAAGAATAGTAAGTGATCAAACGCAGCCGATTACAGCAGTAGGACTAGGACCTGCAGCAAAGACAGCGCTAGCCTACATAGAATTACACACTTGCGCACAAGGGAAAAGTCACGGCGGGAGAAAACAAAATACCTCTCACATGATGTAAATCCCTGGCAAATTTGTATGCAGGTAGCACGCAAACCGGCACTACCAAACGTCATGACGACCAACCACGCGACCGCCATGACATTGATTGACCATGTCCTCTTGCGTCGCCCCCGGGAGGCTGATCACCTACCTCCCGCAGGGGAACCTGGTAAACAACGCAACTTTGAGGCGATATGGATGTTGAAATCTCCGCGCCACTAGTTCACGTCCAAAAGGAACGGACCGTCCCGGGGTTCAGCTTGGAACCTCAAAACATTCTGCCTCTACCAGCTGCGGACGCGGTGAGGGATACTATTTAGCACAGGCGGATGCGGACACAACACAGAAACAACAACAACAACAACAACAACAACAACAGAGCATAAATACTGCCTTGTGCTGTGGAGTCTTCTCCTTGAGCCCCGAACCGGGAAGCCCGACACTGGTGTCGTCCAACCTCCTTCGTAACCCCCCCTGTCCGATGAATTGCACGTACAAAAAGCTAGGTCGGGATTTAAATTCCGCTCTATGGATACCACGGATGCACTTTCATGGGATCAGACTGGTGCTTGCTGACACGTGGAACAACATTCTCCGCCGCTGCACCGCTGCATCTGCCCCATGGCTGGACAGGTTGACGAGTGACGAGCCATTTCGCTCGCCTTGTAGATAGGAAACAAACAAACGGCTGCCGTTGTCGGAGGCTGCGGCCGTGAGTGGTAGCCTTCACGACGTTGTCGAACACCCAGCTTGATTATTAGGTGTTGGATAATATTTTTCGCCAAACAAGGTTGGGGAGGGGTTGACCCAACCCTAACTCCTAGTCTCGGTTGATACCTCGCATAGCGCGCAGAGGGAGTGGAGGACTCCAGAATATCTGTCGTTGATGTCTATTGACTTGCGGACCCCTCGGGGCCAGTTTATTTGAGTGTACCTTTTTAGGGTAAGTTAACCTGTGACCACGGGAATCGACCGCGTCGAGTGTTTTTTTTTTTTTGTCTTCACTTCAAATCAGCGCTCACAGCACTAGTGCCGTTTACTCCAACCCGTGGTCACACAGAAGAGCCCCTCTCTGCCCTCCCCTCCTGCGGTACTTTGCCTTCGATTTTTAATGCGAGAAGAGGTCAGCACTCTCTTCCCTCTGTGTACACACGAACTAGCGCTATCCACTAGGCCAGGAGCGGAAGCGAGAGAAAATCTCACTTTGCAAGAAAAGCTCGCTTACGCCGGGATTCGAACCCCTGACCTGACCTCTAGAAGGTTTCGAGGATACCAACTAGACCACCGGGGCGACCGGCACTATACAAAGTGTTGGATCAGTACGGACATACGAAGGTACTGGGTAGAGAGAGATCGGAACGGTTTTTAATACGGTGTTTGCAAACATCTGATTCTGGTCTTGTCTTGGTCTTTTTTATCCCCCCGAGCGCCGAAGTCCGATGGATCTTTAGGAATCTGGTCTTTTGCTTTCGCGAATTGCCCCCAAAGACCCGAGAAAAGGTCCGATTTTGTCTTGCTCAGTTTTGTCTTTGAAAGAACAATTTTTCATTGGCCTACACACCCCGAGATACTCCCGATGCCCTCCCGGCAGACGCCGCACCATCCCGTGGAGCTGCCGAAACACACACAACTCGGGCGTCATAGGCGACACCATGGCGAACCAACTACATACAGCAGTACCGCCAGACAGACAGTCAGACTGAGTCACTGCACCGCAGACCCGATGCGCATTGCATGCTGCCGACATGGTGCAACTTTTGCGTCATCTTAGATGTATATGCGTGAACCGAAGCATGCCGCTCTACATGCATACTCATAAGTGACACATCAAAGAAAGCCGGCGTGAGGAGGGTGAGGCGGTGAGGTGGGCGGCATAGATCTCAGGAGTGTGGCACAGACAGGTGGAGGCGGAGGTGATGGAGTTAGGGATGCTTCAAGCGGCGTGGGAGCGTGAGTAGGAGCTGCAGCGCGTTGGTCTTGTGGACCGTGCTGCGGTGATTCGTTTGACGGGGAACGATCGACTCCGTCGACGACTGACTGCGATGTGTATCACAACTTGTTCGCGTGCTGAAGGGGTACACACATGCATGCCTCAGCTGTTTGCGGCGCTACGCTTCCCATGCGCTCCCGGCACCTGAACTGGGCCAACCGCCTGTTCATGAGCGAGTACGTTGCTCCATCAGTATTCTCCATGACTACTTAGTCAGCTGGGGGTGAGGGTGCAGTTAAAGTAGAGTAATAGTAGCCTTGTTGGGGTGGAGGCGGAAGGTCGGAAATAAAAATGTTTGGTGTTCCGAGTCCGCTCAACCATCTGTCTGCCGCCGCCGGCAAAGGGGCTCCGTCGTACTGAACGCAACTTTCTTGGAAATTTCCGCATGCTCAAGATCGAAAAAATCACACTCGAGTCTTCGCAAGCAGTTTTGAAACACAATTCCGGTCTTGGTTTTGGACTTGCTTCCGACTTCAAAGACCAAGACCTGAGACCAGTCCGCAAACACCCTAATGTGAAGACAACAACAACAACAACAACCCACACCCAAGCGGGCTTTGGACAACGCCGAACAAAAAATCAAAAATGGTTGAGCAATTTACGGATTCTTTTTCTGATATCTTTGGGGTGCCAGGAGGGCGTGTGAAGCCGTTTGTTCGTTGTGTGCCATCCTATGCATATGAACTATGCATACAAATTGGCTCTCGACGATTTCCGATGGGCGTGGAACTTGGCGAAACGCACTTGAAGCGCGTTCCACAGAACATAAAGCGGAGATGGAGATACCATGGTACGTAAATCTACAGGCGCAACGTTGTCTCTGTCTCTCTCTCATCGCGAAAGCAGCACTTTGGGTCAATCATGGGGCTAACGGCAACCCTCCGTTCCTTTAGTATCTAGCATCTAGCGGCCTGCCTCGCTCAACCTTTTTTCGGTCGCCTCGTCGCCTCCCCCTGTCCCCAGCCCCTACTTGACATGAACGTTGTCTTGCTTCTGGACGGACAGGTAATGCCTGATTATTAGTGTTCGTCTATGCGCACCCCCCCCCCCCCCAGGAACAGAAAAAGACTAATAACAAGAGGGTCCGGGTTGTGCCCCAAGACAGCGGTTGAAGGAGTCTACCCGTCTACCCGTCTACCCACAGATTGAGTCCCAGCGCTCTCAATCCACATGCCATATATTGCGTAAGATACCATACCCCCTGGGGCCGCCCCTGGCGATGACTTTGTAGGGTTGCCCTTTGTGTTTCGCCGGCAGCTTTGGTGTCGGAAGAAACCTGCGCCGGCCTGTGTTCTTTGTGTTTGTCTCTAGTCCTTCCAATTCCGCCGTTGTGCACTTGTTCTACGCTCCTTGCCTTCTCTACCCCAAGGGCCACGAGAGAGAGAGAGAGCCCAGCACAGAAGCATTTTTCACCCCAAGTAGCGTGTGCCATCGGTTGGTTATTCTTTTCCACCGAGAGAGAGCCTGCACGCTCGTTCAAAGACCAGATCTCTTCTATTATATCGTTGTCTATAAATGCTGTGTTGCCCCTGTGAACATGGCTTCATGTAGTGGAGCTTGTGGGGCTGAACCCACATGGTAAGGGCGAGAAGCACAGCTGCTTCGGCGAATTTCGAACGCGCAACACCGGGAAAGGGTGTGTGTGTGCGATGCGCGATGTGGGGGTGTCACAGGTTCCGACGATGGCGGAATTTCGCTCCGCATGCTACTATAAACATACGAGTCTGCACGAACAGCTCTCACCATTGTTTCTCCTGCCTTCGTTCTGTTCGATCCTCTGCTCTCCTGCTCGGCTCTCCCGCTGTTCTTTCTGTGCTTGCTTTGTAAGGCAGCTCAGGCTGCATCATACCGGGCGATATATTTACCCCCATGCTTTTATCCTGCGGAGCCCCCGAGCCAGTCCGCCGAACGGTCCAAATTGTGTCATATTAAGAAAAAAAAAAACTTCGACAATAAATTTATACTTGTAGCAACTTGTAGTCATAGTCTTTGGAACGGTCTGCATGTTTGAGACGTTTTTCTCATATTTTGTGTCGTCGTGTGGCTCAATGGCTGGCCCACGGTTTGCGCATCGACGGTGCCGAGTGCGCACGAACGCTTACAACATTGCCATTGTTCAAAGAACAAGGAAACCAGCAGGAAGGTAGGCGGCTGGGTGTCAAACTGCGATGACTTCCTTCGCGTTTATTTTTATGTGATGCAAGGTACTACTTCATGGTGGTAGAGAACATTAGTTTTACCTAACATGTCATGCATTACAGACGACTACACCGCTGGTCAACTAGATACTATGCTGCTGCTGTATTCTAATGACAGAAGAATAGCTCGCAATTCTACCACTTTAACGTACCGACTTGGCCGCGCGCACCAACCTTCCTCCTCGGTAATTTCTGGCGGAGATGACAAATAAATCTATGTCGGATTTTCCGTCATGATACATAATGGTACACTACAACATGGAAGCCTCCTCGCGAATGAATGAATCAAGGCGGACCTGTGTACCAAGTACGTGGTAGGCTCTGCGTGCTGACCATGGAAAAAATAGTAATTGAGCCATGACCAAAGCATGGCGTGTGTTCACTGCGGGCCCCGGAGTTATTAAACAGTAGTTGGTCTGGATTTGTTCAAGGTGAAACCTGACCTCGACAGCTATATCCACCATCAGCAGCACACGCACACCCACCTCCTCTGCCCCACTGTTCGGAGGTGAAGAATGGACAAATCCGTAGACTAGAATAGAATAGTGAGTCTGGCGGCACTCCAAGAAACATTTACTCAAATCCTTAGTCTTAAAGTCAAATCAATGAATTAGTATTCATTGATGATGGTAATCTTACAGAAAGAGCACCCATTGATTCAAATTTTTCTCCTCGCGCCGCGACTCTCTGAAAGTCGCTGTCAATAACCACATTCCCTCACCAATCGCACAAAGCGCAAGTAGTGGAATCCCTTCGAACACAAAGAGTCGACCTCCAACCAAACACTGAAAAACCACGGTGGGTGCCGTCCAGCGTCGAGCGCAGGCAACAATGGGGGCTTTGCGCGCACTCAACTTCAAGTCAAGATAAAGCAGCGGATGCACGCAAGCCATACTTGACTCAAAATGATGGCATTATCTTGAGCAACAACGACAGGATAAGCCGACTTCAAACCGCTCAAGTCCCTGTCTTGCACAAGAAGCACGGAAATCGGGATGCAACTCACGCCAACCCCTTTGGGGTTTGACCTACGAGAAACAGGTACAGCAGCTCTAGTGATGTGATCTGTAGAAAATATCCCACCCTACTGCATGATAGTCTAAAACAGAGCCTACAAAGAATTCGCGGTTGGGCAACACCACTTACTCAGTTTCGGGGAAACGCCACCACTCAAGAAGCTTGGTGGTCGATTTCTGAGGATTTGGTTCATCTCCACAATATCCCACCAAATTTCGCGAATGCATGGTGTTTGCGATGCTTCCTGCCAACACGAGGCATGTCCCCGAAACAAGTCCACTCAATACCCCCGACCTTCGTCCATCGCTTCCTTCGAATTGATACCACGGTCGAGCATGGCGCCGTATTCACGCCCCGTGATGCATTGGGCCTCCGGTGAGGTTCCTTCTTGGTACTCCATCTCGGCCATCATTTGGCCCTGGGGGTCATCAAACGAGAAATTTCACCCAACGTGCGGCGGAGCAGGGATGAGACTCATCATTTTTTCCCGCCGGTTCTTACGGTTTGGTAGATGGCATATTCTTTGCTATGGTGTTCTGCATGTGAGCGGGCGGGGTCATCTTACGACAAGGAAATGGTATCATTGTGATTTCCCTACATGAGACTTAAACATCGGTGGCGGTGAAATGGTCAGCAGAAAAATACTATTGTTCTTGGCTGTCCCTTGAGTTGCCGCTTCGAAGCAAATGGCGAGACCCTTGGGGCGCCTGCGCATTGCCTGATGTTCGGGAGTTTGCGTTGTGACGAATGCTCTCGAGCCGCCTACAGAACCAACATTTGACATCTTTCGCAGGGCTCAGATGTTTTAATTCCGCAGATTAAACGTCGTCCGTTTTATCGAACACTTGGCAAATCGCGTGACACGCTGACCGCAAAAGTTTGTGTTGAGACCGTTGAGCGCGGAAAACCTTTCTGTCCAGCCGACTTGCGTTGCACGAACAAGGTGCCTTGGGCGACTGCCTCTTACACCACCTACACCAACGCCAACACCTGGGCGTAATCTCACAGTCATACAGCCGACCGCAGACAAGTACACCAAGGTTGGCGAGTGAGCCTCGCATACTGGGGGAATGATCTCACAGTCATACAGCCGACCGCAGACAAGTACACCAGGTTGGCAAGGACATCGGTGAGCCTCGCCAGCTCGCGGAAGTCCTGAACGAAGATAGCGGCACAGTGGCAGATACACGAGAGCAGCTGCAGGCAGTTGTTGAAGCGCTGCAAGACGAAACGACACAGCATGGGCGGCGGGTCGGGCATTATTCCACGACTCAGGGGCTTGAAGGAAGGCCTGGAAAGAATGAACCAAGGTCATGAAGACAAACTTCGACATCTTGATTGGCTGTGCAGATTGCCACAATGCACGAGGGAGAATGGGACTGCGCGTTGTCGTGCTTGCATCAGTTCCGAGCATCACCCTCACAAGGCGCGTCAGCTGTTCTTAGAAGGGGACGTCGGTGTCGAAGGGGCGCAATCCCCTCAAACATGTTCAACAGGGGCCACAGATGCACAGCGCAAAGAAAACCCCACTCATAAACGGAGTAACCTTTCTGGCAATTTGTACACCTGGCTACGCCGCGCATGCCTTACGGGTGCGCATACTCTAGTGTTTTTTTTGTACTCTAGGGTGGGTCTATAAATATTCGAATAACACTACCATACGGTAAACAGCTGATGATGACCTATGTAACTCACGATGATGCGGTTGTCCCATGGGTCAGGCTGCACCTCGAACTTGTCCATGAGATACATCCTGCCGTACAGCGAGACCCGCCGTCCGTTGAGAGAGGAAGAGGGAGGTGGGCCGAACACGAGGGGATCACTTGAGCATGAATCATCGTGTGTTTAGTCATACATAAACCCACTATCCACACTTCTACATCGTCCATTCCAAACTGCTCAATACGATTGACGTATCTCACATGTTTACCCCGCTTGCGGGTAGCAGGAGGGTGGCGGTGCGCGTACGGCTCTTGTACACGAACTTCTTCATTCGCTGGGTCGAGAGCAAGGAAGAACAAGACAGCAGTATCACTTGTGGCCACCTTGAGCGCGGAAGCAACAAATACTCACCTGCTTGAGCTAACAGCACAGCTGGGGCACAAGAAAGATTCCATGCAGAGGCAGAAGCACGGACAACGTCTCTCGCCGCAGTCACCTGGTTCACAACAGTGCGCTGGCGGAACAAACAGTGCACATGCAGTCGGGGCGAAGGTGGAGCAGTCAGCAGCGACCGGTCGCACTCCAACATGTGCGTCGAAAGGTTCGCTGTGAGCTTCAAGCCCACTGCACGAACCGGCTAAGCATGCAACTGGGGTCACCTGATACTAGGGCGGGGAGGGGGGGGGGGGATTTGGGCTTACCCCGAGCGAGCGGAGAACAAGCGAATTTGCGCTACCCTGGTCAGCACAGAGATTCCTTCGACACGGGTGCGATCCGGCAGCATTTTCGTTGGAAATGCGTACGACAGGAGGTCGCGGTGACAGTCAGCCTCAACACATCAGCACTGGCCCTCTGGGAGAAATATTGCCACAACATCGAAAACAAGTCTGGGACGGTATCTGATGCACACCGCGCACTTGGGAAGTACCCTTGGCAGCACACGTAGTCGTCAAGCCTGCCGCCCAAGGCTCTTTTCCTGACCGCGAACTGCGCGCAGCCCAAACACAGGCTCCCGTAGGCACACCCTGCTCCCGCAAATTCGACATGAACAACGACATCGCAATTGCGGGAGGGCGGGGTTATGAAGTGGAGGGTCAGGTGGAGGGTTGGGCGTGAAGAGCGTGGCGAGCTTCAGAAACCGACGATGGACCCAGTCCTCCGAGAAAACTTCTTTTTGTGCTTGAAAAGAAGGATCGATCTTTGCTGTACACTAGAGCATGCTACAGGAGACACAAGGTTGATGGATGGACCGACATCGCACATAGGAAGGTCTTGCACGGTGCCTCCATCATTCCGATCTGAAACTGGTTGGGGTTTCCGTAGTAGGCGTCGAGCTTCGAGCCCGGCACGGGGTCATCCTTCACGCAGATCAAGCAGCACGCCTGGAACAATAATACGAACGGCCGGGAACGCAAGATAGTACAACATGTGTGTGTGTGCGTGTGATAGAGAGAGAGAGAGAGAGAGAGAGAGAGAGGGAGAGAGAGAGGAGAGAAAGCGAGAGAGAGAGAGAGAGATAGATAGATAGATAGAGAGATAGAGAGATAGAGCGAGCGAGAAGGAGAGAGAGAAGGAGAGAGAAACACAGGAAAAGAACGAGAGGGAACGTGCGACAGAGAGGAGAGGGCATCCGGTGGAATTGCCATCCACAAAACGAATGTAGACTAGACGCAGGATGAGTATGGACCCAGATGAACCATTGGTCTCAAGTCTGCCTTTGCACCCTCGCCAAAAGAGAAATTGCTTACTGCAGCTGAGGGATTCTTCAGGAGACACTAAACCTGATACATCAATGAACATGTTGGACTGGGTACGCAAATGCTCACTCTCGGGACTCAATATCCGTGGACGTACTTGCTCAGCAGGGGCAGGAGGTGAGCGATGGAAAGCTAGACTGTGGGCGAACGCCCCAAGATGACCATGAGCGGGTACAGCAGCGAAGACAGCTTGGTTTAGGTTCCATTTCCGGCTCGGATGGGGCGTACCTTCTGATTCGATATCGTGCTCTCAGAAGGTGGACAGGACTCACCGAAACACAAACAATAGGCTCATCGTGCTTTTTGCTGCAATTATGTTTCAGGTCAGGACAAATTTCGCACGTCCTCCTTGAGCGGGTTGCATGTTTCTTGTTCCTCTATCGTTTGAGCTTGATCTCTTCTATGTGGTGAGCTAACTCTGGCGTAGAACAAAGCGGAGATTGACACCTGATGTCATGCTCGCTTAGAGCAAAATTTACATGCTGCCTCTTGGTATGTCCCGTGCGCTTTACCCGTGCTAAACATTTCCCAGTTGTTCACTGGTCTTCGTGCTGGTCTTGAGGATCTGTTCTCTACGTGAGCGGTGTTCTTTGTGACGTAGCGGTCGAGGTTGCTACTTGACCCCTTACTTATCGGACACAATACTGCCCACCATAGCGATTCCAGTCGGCGGGCACAAAGTCATCCTACACTTCGCTGGCGTAATGATGAGCTATTAGCATTTTTCGGAAACCACCGGTTCTCTGCGTGGTGACACGACTCTCGTGTCCGGCGTTCCGATCCAGGAAAGGACACATCACAAATAGCACGACCTTCGCTCACCATTGTGTGTGTGGTCGAAGAAAAACCGTTATCCGTGCCCTTGGAGCACCCTCTCGATGCTCTTCGTGATTGCCGGTCCTTAGCAACAGCCACGAAACGCGTTCACTTGTTGGTGTCGCTGGAAGCTGCGAACAGGACAACCAAGAGTTTAAGTCCAGTTATTGTTGTAGTTCAAGGTGATTGCCCTGTCCCCGGCACCCTTTCAGAAGTATCGTGATGGGATGATGCCTAAAGTCTCATATGCAAAGACACAAGAGAGGGTGGGATAATCAATTGAATAGACGTTCGCTCCGACTCTGAAAGCCCTGGTCAACAATGGCGCGCCAGAGAAGCCCGACGCCAACAAAACTTGAGGACATGTGTCTGTCCCCCCCAAACCAAAATTAATCTGCTTTCAGGCAATCAAACGCCGGCGGCTCACTCATGTGGTTTGAACCATCGAAACGTGTAGTCGGCAAATTGGCGAACGCATTCACTCGTAAATTCTGCGATGAACTGCGGTGTGCTGCCGCTCTAGTTTGTGGGGTATGCAGACTACGCGGCGTATTGTGTAAAGGAGTCATAGTCTAATACTGTAACTTAACGATCTTTCCGCCCACAACACAGTTTTTTCCCGCCGGATACGTAAGACGCAGACTCGGCAAGGAGAGGGTTCTGCACACGAACTGAAACACACCTCGTTTTCTACGTACACACTCAATAGCAGTGCGCAGCAGTCTACAATAACTAGACCTACTATTTACATCAATAGACGACCGTCGGTTGAAGTTGCTTACGGATGTTTTGGTTCCGATCGTGCGACTGGGACTGACTCTTTCATCGCCCCGTTCTTCGGTTCAGTACGGTTGGCATTACCGATTCTTCAGAACTACAGGAAGGACCTCAACACACCGCTTCTAGCGTCCTCTCGGATCGATGATCCTACACTTATGAAGATGTGAAGATGTACTCATGTCCAAGCACACGTTTCGTGGTAGCGCATACGACGGTAGGGCAGGAGATGCGGATAAACTGCGGAACGATAATTTCTCCCATTTTGCAACCAACCGTGGCGGTGTGCATTCCCTCGCCACAGACTATAATACGAGGTGCAACGGGCGCACGACACTGAGACTCGCCTGACTTTCTCTGGCCTCCCGTATTTGATGTCCCCCTCGGCTCGTCTGCGTCTGTCGGTCCTGGTGGGGGGTGCCGCCACGACCACGGCAAATAGAGGACTGTGGGTGATTATGGAACCAAAATTGCTTTTGGTTCCGTTCCCCCTCGGCAGCTTGAACAAGTCGGCAAGTTATGGCGCTCCGCGAGAAGTGCGATTTGGTGTGATTGATCATGCCATCCATGTACACATCATCGTCTGCGCGTCATGCTGCGACATGTACCCACATGGCTGACTGCACCAGAAAGGTGTACTGCGGCACCGAAGGGACCAAGGAGGTAGAGTACTGCAGCCAGCACGGCAGGAAGGAATGGTGAACATCGCGGACAGGAGCTGCGGCCACCCAGGTTGCACCGAAGCTGCAACCGACAACGATATACGCGACAGACGCGGAGTACCGTGTTCGGCACACCGGACTGCAGATGGCGTGCGGGAAGTCCGACCGGCCCACCACTCCAAGATGTAAGAGGGGCCGTCGGAAGGCATCGTTTGTACTGTAGCGCGAAGGAGGGCGCACGGGCTTCATCCATCCTCATCCATCCGTGGTGAGTTGGGCGAGTGCATAGGAGTACATATACTGTACATGTATGCATCCCATCCGTTGACAACAGCAGTAGCATCGGCAAGCAAGTCCACCACGTCGGCCCACGCTCCGTGTCACAGGTCCTGGTCAACAGAGAGACGGTCAAAATGACTTTTCGTTGTTCCCATGATGGCGGGCGCTCGCCCCAGTCAACACATCGAAGTATCCCAACGTAAAACGAACAATGGCGCTGTTGTTGCTTCCTCGCGACTTACGACAGTCCTCTGTTATACCACTTCGTAACATGAGTCTCTCTGGGTCAGCACACCGATCAAAAACTGAGGGAATATAGAAATTCACACGGAGCAAAGAACGTGCTCGGTTTACATCGTAGTGCTAGTCTCTCAGCGCCCGAGAGCTCGTTGGAGTGTGGCTCAGTTCCGTCCGAGAGATTCGTCGGCAGGATGTAGACTATCAACGCCGTTCAAAACAGAGCGTGCGTTCAACAATGTACATTTCTTTTTGTTGTTAAAGTCGAATATGTATACCTCGCACCCTTAGGCCCTAGCTGTCGTCCGTAGCGTCTGCCCTAGATCCTAGAATGCGAATTGTTTGTCCTGTCTACTGCTGTACGTAGATGAGTCGGTTGTGTTTCATTGCGGTGGTTATGCTGAATTTCGAGGGGATGGGTGGTCCTCTCAAACGTCATCTCTTGCAAATGAGCCCCAAGCGCCACGCGACGTGGTGCTGTGATGCACCGAAGGACCCCAACAGTGAGGGTTTCATGTCCATTGCCCAAGCAAGCAACATGGTATGACACACAGATAGGTATCACCATTTCGCTAAGTCCAATAATTTTTTCTCAATGCTCGCGTTCCTTCGCCATTTTCTAAACTTTCTCCCGACGGAGAGAGTTGCGCCCCCAGGGCTACGGAGGTGTCCTATGATCTTTGCGGTACAGAAAAGACACCAGAACTTGCCGGCAGAATTCACTTCTTTGCGGCTACCTCCAGAGGTCTTTCATCGCTCAAAATGGAGAACTTGCTCCCGCGGGGGGAGGGCGATACTGCATGTCGGAACAACCGCATGTCCCCTGGATGTGTGTGTGTGTCTTTTTTATTTGCATCGACCGCGCTAGTCGGCAGACGAATGAAAAGACGTCAGTCTCCGTGCGGTGCAATACACAAAACGCTTCTATAGGCCACGATCTGGGATTCTGCGACCGAGCGTCCTGGGGGAGACTACGCTACTCCTCGGATTAAAGACAGATACCGCAGCAATAACAGAAGAAAACTGCACTCATTTTCTATGCCTGGTACTACTTTGGATGTATGTGTGTTTGTCCCATTAGTCTACTCTGGCGCCGGTTCACACCAGGCCTTTCGGCGTATATACCTGAGGTATCAGCCGGGTCACATAAAGAGTGAGCTGGGAATACAATAACTCCTTAGATCTCACAGTTGACCGTAAGGTGGCGAGGCACAGTAACGCGTCGCGTCTGACGTTCCGCCTGAGTTGTTTTTGTGCGTCGTACACCTCCGTCTACTGAATGAGCGAACCTGATATGCTGAGTTGTTTGTACGCTGTTTGGTAGAAAGGAGTCTATTGCGTGTCCCCAAGTTAATAGAGGCAGCCTTTAGAAAATCACCATTGCCAGCAAGCACCAGGGGTTCACGGCATGGTGTTACCGCATGCGTGTGTATTTCAATAGTTAGCATCGACCACGCTGGCCAGCTGCCGAACTAGCTTGCATGATTGTCATTTTGATTGTGTTCATTTTTGTTGGTGGGCCTCGACCGCTATCTAGCCGGATGCCCAATTAGCATTCGTTTTAGTTTTCGTCAGCCTACCCGTGTGTTTCTAGCAATATCGGCCTCACTACCGGAAGGACAGCTGAAATTGCACTAGTCTTGGAGGAAGAGAAGTTGCGAGAGAATTTTCGACGAGCATGTGCCTGTTTGTTGCCCTTCGACTCGTGGCTGTCCCTGCCATGTTTAGTCTTCGCTGTCGCTATCCTAGCAACCGCACGAAGCGAAACCAAGTACTTCTAGCACACTAGAAGATGAGCGAACATACTGGGGCACGGTAGCGTATTTCTTTGAGAGTGCAGTAGTCAGGCGACCTGATCGCTTTCGAGATTCGGTATTCATTTGGCGCTGGAGCCCGAGGAGATGCGTTACACCCCAGCCCGTCAAACGTTGTTCAGAAGTGTCCGTTGTTCATTGAATTTGCACTTCCCGATGCAGCTGAGTAGAACAAAGCAAGCTTGCACCGAAAACCATCTTGCGTGGATTTGTTCGTAGGTATTCGAAACAATTAAATCGTGTTGCCCTCATTCAGGTCCGTGCATCGTCTGCTGTCGGATGATGTCACTGGCATCCCTCCATGTCTCCGTTTTGTGGTTCCGGTATTCAAGCCAGGCCCTCCTACCACTTGGCCCAAGCTGGCCTCATGACTGCCTGGTATTGGTTTTCGTCGCTGCGATTTTGCTTGCATAGCTTCGGCCGAGCTCTTGTGGGTTGTCACACCCTTCATTCTTGTCCTTCTTTCTCAAGCCTGCGTATCTCTCCTGATTCAAGCGACATCCTTCTCTGTTGGGAGCCCTTTATCGTTTCACAGACAATGTTCCGCAGTGACTTCAGTGTTTCCTCTCGAACCCCCCTCTTCCCCCGGTCGAAGCTGGCTTAGGGGATGCGAGCAGCCGGCAGAACGGGAGGCTTTGAAGCGTACCTGCAACGGTACGGTAATGAGAGCAGTCTTGGGGTTGGTTGAAAACGGCTCAGTACTTTATGCACCTACACTTTGGATACGAAAACAGAGCTGATGCAAGGCAGCTATTCTCACACCAGTTTGACGGACGTACCCCCGAGCCGGTCGCCCAGATGGTCAGTTGGTTTGTCTATATAAAGTACAACGGATTTCGATTTTCTCGCTGGAAAAAAAACCGTGTTTGCAGTTTGCGGTGGACAACGATTAATCCGTGAGAGAGAGAGTACACAACATGTCGACTTCACGGTCGACGAGGGCAAGGGACGTTTTATCGCCATGAAAACTGCGGCAAGCACTACGGGAGAAGATGTGGGGCATCAAAGCAACAGAAACAGCATGAACTCCTGTGTGACCTCCCTCCTCCGCGACCCCGGCTGATACGTGAAACACATACATACGCCGAAAGGTGCATCGACAGGCATAAGATTGGTGATGGGTTGGTGTTTGGTTAACGTCTTCCGGACATGTCGACGTTGCGACATGGTTCAAAGGCTTTCGCAGTGCAAACACAAGACCAAAATGTACCTGGTATTGTGTATGACCAAGTCTTGGCAGCTGTCTGACTAACTCCAGAGGAGAGCGCATGCGGTGGCTCAGAGCACTGGCACTAGTCTGGTGAAGCCCCGCACCGATTATATGTGCAGACTGTCATATGCGTACCTGAACCCACTGGCCCCAAAAGACCACACGCCGTGCCTGGTCATCCCTCCCGAGCGCGCACCGCCCCCCGCCGCCTTTCGGTGGCTTTTCTTGCGCCGGAAGATTAAGACCGGGACTACGGCCTCGCTCATCTAAGGGGCAGTGAGTAACCAAGCAGACACGTTTTCTGTTTTTGTTTCCCGCAGAAATTTGGTGTGTTGTTGTTGTTGTTGTTGTTGTTGTTGTCTTCACATTAGGTGTGTGGAGGTTACTTGGAACACCCGACGAGAAACATGCCGTATTTTCCGGACCAAGAACGGGCAGCCCGTTTGAAATCCAAGGAAAAGGTGGTTCTGTTCTCATCAATTCAGTGTAGGACGATGTTTCCCAATTGTTGTGTTCGTCGTTACCCGCCATCTTTTTGGCCGGAGCTGTGTGGTGAAAGTTCTGGCAGCAAAAAAGCCACCGGGACAGATTTAACTTGGTGTCCACCAGTCAGCTCTCTCTATTTAACTTGGCGCCTACTTGGCGCCTACTTGGCGCCGTGTCTATTTCGAGTAGTTTTGGCAATTTCGCCGCTTTCGTCTGCGCACCGCTTCGAACCAACCAGTTCATTTCAGCGACCGACACGCATCAGGCGGGAGCCTGGGCATTGCAACTGGCGCATACCACACGCCCGCAGCAGGATAGAACCAGCAGAGACCACTCTGGTCTCTGTGTGCACGAAGTTTCACACCGTCAATCCACACTGAGTGTCAATGACGAGCACGCAGCAGCACCCAGAGGAGCTACAGCGAGGAGAAGGAGATCGCACACACACGCACACGCGATTTTATGTCGAGCTATGTAGTGCTGGACAACACCACACCCAGGGATCCGTGTATGCTTTTTTCATATCGTCTGAACGCCTGTCCTCACGCCAGACCACTTCAAGCATCGTGATGATGATGCTCTCCCACCTCTGAGTTGTGCTCTCTTGACTCCATCTGTAGCTTCTTTTTGGAATGAACTCCCCAAAGCAATCACCATCAATCATCAATCCCGACGCGTTGGTATATTGACAACCCGCACGGAAAAATATCTGCACGGTGATTTCTTTGCTGTCGCGGTGACGACACCTCTGCTCTGGTGTCTCCTTTTTCTCCATTGATTCATACAAGTGCAACATTTTGAAAGCGTGCGGCCCGCAGAGAATAGATGGGTTTCACACAAATTTGCGGGCTCCCCCCGCGTAATTAAACTCCAAAAGCTCTGTCCCGGTACATTAAAAATTTGCCAAAGTTCTTTGCTGCGCGGCCGTGATCGCGTACGAGATCACACGACGACGGGCGCGTTCCAATAGTATCGTGTGCTGGAAAAAAAAAGAGCAGGATCAATCTGATGAGGTACCACGCATATTGGTCGCGTGTTTTGAAGTATATATGCAGAAGCAGGTGGTACACACGCGCTCTTCAGACCCACCTTCCAGCGTTGCACCCTATCTCTGGATGGACCCTCAAGAGGAAGAGGCCAGAATCCGGGGGGACCATCGAGGATGAGCGCTTTCTTGAGGATCACACCAGCGGCGGCGATGAGCTGGGCTTTGTGCCTGAAAATACTTCAAATAGAACAACAGTGGAACAACCGATTGACTCATTCCTCTGAAATTTGGCTTCAAGATGGAATCTCAAAGCTGCTACGTAGGTCTAGATCGCGTCGCATACGCACGGATCCTCTGCCCGTAGCACCCTATACCTCAATACTAGTCTCTGCCCTACTAGTATTACTGACACCCTCAGTCATCGTGGTACGTACGGATGGTCGCTTTGTTGCGGAAGTGAACGATATGCAGACGAGCAGCACCTGTAGAACTAGCATTTTGGGCTTATAGGCAAAGGTCTCCCCGCTAACCACCGGTCAAGCGTTCTACCCAGGATAGAATACTCTTTGGCAAACGAACTCTACCCGATTTGACGTTATTGACGAAAATTTAAGAATCCCGCCCGGCCAATAGCCGAAGTAACCGAACAGCGGTATGAATGTTTTCCATACCTGTCACGGCTGCGTTCCCACTTGGGCGGGGGAGTCCAAGATAGCAGCTGCTTGATTGCGGCGAAGACATCTTCCTCAAGGACTAGATCACGGTAGCCGGGCGTGCGGTTCATCTCGTTCAGAATGTCCTGGCCGAAATGTTCAGTTGGAGGGAGAACATAACAAGACCAGAAACGTGAGATAATGAAACATGGGCAAGGAGGAAGATCGCGCATTGAGGCCGGGAGGGAAACACCTCAATCCTTGCCGGAAGTTTGACGATCCTCCACGGCTTGCTGTAGAACAACACGTATCAAAATTTCTTGACGACATCTATGTCGGGACGTGCCTCGAGACAATTCATAACAAGGACTGGATTGGCACATCTACCGGCTATCTTCGAGGAGGGTACTACAGCAAACCAGGCAGAAACAAAAGGAAGCTGGGACACCCTCACCTGCTTTGTGTGATATTTCGTACCGAACGAAGCCGTTCTGCTTTTTATCGTAGCGCCCTTGGATAGCACGGGAAAAACGGGAAACTTGTTTGCCATTTTTTTCCACGAGGCGAAAATGTCAAAGTCTCATGAGACTCGACGTACTTGTCAACCCATCGGTCTATGGTACTGTACCTGCACTTCTTCCATGGCCGTCCTTTTGGTTTCAGTCACGATGTCCAGGCCTCGCGCCGCGGTCGGTGAGTTGCCACCATCCATGTCATCTAGCTGTGCCGTACGCGCACATGCGAACCGAACATGACAATGCGATACGCAACATCAGCGACGTACGGTAGGACACCTTGTCGATGTGATAAAGAATGTTCATGACTCTATATGTAACGGCCGGTTTTGCTGCTCACAATGTCGTCGAGACCTTCCAGCTCGTGTCGCACTCCATCGCATCGCTCCCCGATGCCGGGTGCCTTTGAATTAGCTCCGACTCCCACTGCCCCCTTCTGCCGCTGCCGGTGGGTTTTGACATTCCTCCCTTGCCCTGCAGGAACGTGCAAACAGGTTAGTCATTCGGTATGATACCCCAACACTGCCGTCGGCCGACTGACTGTCTTTTCTATGTGAAAGTTGATGCCTTAGGTGAACGTTTGAGTGAAACTCAACAGCCCACGACCGAGTTACCATCACCACGTTGGTCGTATTGCCCAGGAAGTGATTTCGCTTGTCGGTGTACTGAGCGGAGTTTGGATTGTGCTCGGAATAAATCCGCGGCATCCGCGATCTACGCTTACAGAAGCCACCGCTTAGTTCTGGGGAAGGCGAGAAACAGACCACCCATCCCCACCAGGTTCTACTCCAGTGGCCGGTGATGACGCAAGCATGCTCTCCTTTGTTGTGGTCGCTGCCGTCACGGTCGTCTTCTCTGACGGATTTGCACGAAGGGGGGATGTGAGGTTTCCAGTGTAGCCAGGGGGAGGGGAGCCGGGGACCGAGATCGGTGCTGCAGATACCCCCCTTCCGCTCGTCGTTCCCCCTTCATATCCTCCCGCGCCGGCGGTACAAAGCTTCTGCGACACCGGCCACTGCTGCGGGTCCCTCTTTAGATTGACGTGGCTGGATTTGTCAGCGCAGACTTGGGCTTCGTCATGGGCGCCATCACTTTCGGCGGTGAGGCGACAGCGTCCGGCAGCGACAGTGATAGGCGATAACATCCCGACAAGTCGCTTTTCTTGGCCAACCTCGGGTTTCGCAACATCAGGGCTGGTGCCGCTCTCCCGGCGGTCCTTGACTTGGCTTCCCCCCTGGCGAACTCCGGGCGATACTTGACGATTTCCACCAAGCGCCCTCGAGTTTGGGATCGTTTGGTCGCTGGTAGGACGAGGAGGGTGAGCGGTGCCCGGTACGTTTGTGGCCATTGCTGCTATCGGGGGGACTGGGTGATTAGGCGATGGCGGCGGTGTTGACGATGTTGGTGGCGACGGCTTGGCCGCGGTAGCGACTTTCTTGCTTCCGCCAACGCCGTGGGTGCCGAAGGTGCTGCCAGAAACGTTTGAGTCCCCTTGTACCATCGTGCCATCACCGTCGGCCCTCCCGTCGTCGCGGCCGAAAGCAGACCTCATGGTCGTGACACTGCTGCTGTCGTTGTTGTAATCTCCGGTGTTGGTTTCGCTCTCAGTTTCTGCAGAACGTTCCCCCATAAGTTCGAGCTCGCCGATAAGAGCGCTGGCCACCACCCCGAGGTTCCTACACACCTGCTTGCGGGAGTGGAGGCGAATGGGGGGGGGGCGAGAGGTGAAATGATTTTATCAGAGATGTAGATCCCACAGGGAGGGGGCGTACTTCTTCGTCATTTCCGCTAGCTGAAGAGCGACGGGACCGTCGACGGCAAGAAGAGCAGGAGGGGCGAGGCAGGTATTCTGATGTGTGCTTACGTCTGTCCCTACATTTGGTTTGCGTTCCTCGTCGACGCTTAGCCTATCGGTGGTTCGATGATCAGCTTACGGGTGGTGTGCCATTGGCAGGCACCAACCAGGTAGTAGGCGAAATTCGTCAAAAGTGCAACTTCTTACATCGAAATGAAGAGAGGTGTCTTGGTGCTGGGACCGAGAGGATTAACTGTCTCAGGATATAGTCAAAATTCATCACAAAGGCAAATGTTGGTAAATTTGTTTCTCTCCCCCTCAACTGTCAGGATGACGTGGAACGAACGTGAAGATTCTCATCGCGTAGTAGGTGACAACAGGTGACGTCGGCAGCGATTTTCGTCATTTAACTTGGAATCAGCTTTGTAGTCGTTCGCAACGATAGATATCCGTCATAATAAATATCCCAACACGGTTTTTTGGCCTTGGTGGAATCAGTTCCCGCACCGAGAGTTCAATTTTTCTTGTCGTTCTGGGTGCTGGCGCGGTTGCAGTAACACATTTACGGTTGCCCTCGACCTCTTCTTGTTGTCCCCGTGGCAGTTCTGACCTGATCCAACAGGTTTGAAGATAACTTGCGATATCACGAGAAAACTCACACACAGCGCAGGCGGCAGACCTACACTCAAATGTTTCAATTCCAGAACTATTGCAAGGATTGTGGTACAACGTCACCTTGGAGGGGTCCTTCACGCTCCGAAGGTGAGTCAGGACATGATCCCTAAACTGTACAGTCGTCTTCAGGCACTTGAACCTGTTTTAACATTTGGCGGTTAATAATATGTGCAGGGCGGGTATCGTAGCTCGCCTATGAATTCACCGTGTAGGGCGGGTATGCGTAGCTCGCCTATGAATTCACCGTTGATAGTTCCGCGGCGTTGGAAGTTGGATTCCACCTACAGCTAACTCCCTCTTGATGGCTCGTATGCCGTGCAATGTAGATTGGGCGGGTGCAAGACAGGGAGCCGAGAATTGCGAGGATATATCTCCCGTTTGCCCACGATTGGAGCCAAACAGAACGTGCTCCAAGAGTGCGTACAAGAGTACGAGTGTATCTTTCGTGGTTCACACCAATTGCCGGTGGGCACGCACGTACGGCGGGGGGGGGGGGGGCATCAACAACGGGTATTCGTCCGTGCCTTAGTGCCTCAGCGTATTCGGCGCCAACAGTAACTTACGCGTCGATCACTCCGCGATCGATACAGCGTCAACAATTAGAATCCTGCCGAACCACTTGAGCCATGCTACACACTACAAGGCCATGCGATGCAGAAGTGACTACCAACATATGTGATTGGACAAGCCGACGGCGTTCTTTGCTCTCCTACAACGCCCATATAGCCCTTCCCTGATCCTCAGCGCCGCACCGCAGCAAGGTCGATGGTCTCGGCCTATTGCATCACGAAATACTCAACATCTTCACCGTTTTGTTATCCCGTTGAGTACTTGACTGTTTCGCATCGAATCATGTCTCCTGATTCTTGAACATCGTTGGTGTACTCTGCGGCCGTTTCCTCCGCAAAAGGTTTCGGTTTGTATCTCAACCAGGTCTGTTCTTCAGCAGAAACTTAGGAACTGCCGAGCTCTCTATCATTACCCTACGGGCGCATACCTCAGAGCCTTTAATCCAACCTCAGCAATCTTCATCGCACCGCTACGGCGTCGCTTTGTGGCCCAGTCACGAAGTACTCCCCTCTCGAGCTCAAGAGTACGGGCAGCCTCGTGCTTCATTTCTTCTTCATCTGATAATGATATAGGAATCAATAGGGCAAGAACCCGATGGGCGCAGAACAGGAAACGGAATATGTGGAAACGCATGGAGGAAAAACAAGAGAAGAGCATTGCTTGACAAACATGCTGGTCTGAATTATCTACCCTTCAGAGAAAGTCATCCGCGAACCATACGTAGCGTCGAGCCACACAGCATGCACACACTCCGTACATTTTTTTTCTATTCTTCCTGCTTGGTACGTACTAAATCTTGGCAGTCGTGGGCGGCGGCAACAAATAGACAAGGCAGTCTACCTATATTTGCATTTCATGTTTGTGGTTCAGCTTCTCCTCGTGATAGGATAATCCCAAGCAGACGTTTGATTCTTCTTCGTCGATTCTATCAAGTATTGAAAAATACGCACCCGTATTTAATGTTTCCTGTATTGGAAGCGGTTTCTTATCTACATCGCCATCTACACTCAACGACATCACTCCTTCTTGAACCGAAGGCAACCAAAGACACGAGGTACAATTGGATAAGCAGAGGAACACAAATTCCAACATATTTGAGCATGGGGCGCACGAAGGTTGTTGATAAAACGAACAGAGAGAAACATAACCGAGAGACAACAACCTCAGAAACTACAGAAGTATTCCCCACGTGCTGGTGGCTTGCGACATGACGGCTGCGTTCGGCGTACATGCTCTCTGTGTACAGGTCAAGGAAGTGTTCGGATCGTATCGCGCCCGTACTTGTTTCTTGGAATGGCGGCGGGGATACCGTTGGTCCTACATGTACTTGGTTCCGAGAAAATGCCCCGAGTACGTGACGGGCGCACGCCCCTCGGGGCTGCTTGTTCAAAACGGTTTTACGATTGCCCCTTTCTCCCCGTGGGGTGATTTCCCCGCTCTTGATCCCATTCCGCTGATGACCAAGCCCACCTTGATCCTTGAACCTGCCGCTGTTCCGGTTGTCAGGATCGACACCCTGTTTGGGCGCGACGGCGTTCTTCCTCCCTTCGTTTCCTGCCTCCGCCGGGTTCGCCTCCGCCGGGACCCCTTCGCCGATATTCTGCTCCGATCCCTTCGCGGTGCTGCCAACTGTGGCTATCGACCCGCGTCGGCTTTGCCCAGCGCCTCGCCCTCCTGCTGGAGGCCAGGAAGTTTCTTGAAGGATCTTAGGGTTGTCCAGCAGGAGCAGGCCTCGCGCGATGTTGAGGAACTTTGCTGGGAGGTTGGGGGACCTGAAAGGGTGGCACGAGCCGGTAGCGGTGGGGGCGGTGGAATGGCTACACGAAAAATGTTTGAGAACTGTCGACGAAGACTAAGACACGGATATATGGAAGAATGTACGGTGCAGATGTCAAGCAAGCGAAGTGACCAGCGGCCATGCTCGCGAGCGCCGGGGGTATCTAGCATGGCTGCCTCCTGCAGTCAGAAAAGGCCGGGAAGAACATCGCCGTTCGTGCATCACGAAATGGTCTACTGGAAGACTTTCGGCATTTTTTCGAGGAGCAATGAAAAGAAACCCACACCATTCTCAAGGCCTTTCGCCCACTGACCGGGAGCGAGTACAAGGTTGATTTGTCGTCGACTTCACCCATATCATCCTTGAGGGTCGCTCTCACGTCCGCCCACTCATTGGGGATGGATTTTCGATCAAATAGACGAGAAAAAGAACGCGCAAAGATCGTGATCGGCTGGCGTGGGGGGGCATCGCCTGCCAGCGGCGTCAAGGGTGTTCGTGCTTTGAATCAAGCTATCCTAGCAGTGCACCACCAGAGGCTCTTCTTCTCAACGATGGGAGCGTGGTGTCCATCCTTCAAGTTTTTCTTGGGGCAGTTGCTGTGATACATGATGATACCGTGCAAGGGCGTCGCCATTCTACAATAGAGAAAAAATATAGGCCCTAGAATGACGGGAACGTGGAGCGAAGTTGTCTTGTTGGTTTCGAGATTATGTCATTGTCACAACATAATTTTCACCAAAATTTGGTGCCACGGGCTAAACGCACTACAGTCAAGCTTTCTGTCAAGCTACAAACACGTCCCCCCCAGGGTTGCCATCCCTAAAATCAACCGCTGTGCGGCCAGATCGATACATCAAGCAGGTTATCGGCTATTGCTTCTTCAGACATTATTTTCTTTTTTTCAGGCGCAAATGCAATGGGGAGAACTCCAGATTAAACACGATGGATTACTGGACTTTATTTACCAGTCAGCGCTGACTAGTAGTCCAGTGGTGATCGTCCTTCTCAACAAGTCTTGCAGCAGGATATACATGGTCCACTTTGGGTACTAATTAGTCTTGACTAATATCATAACTATTTTGAGTTTGTTGGTGTCGTACAGGAGCAGACTCGGCTCGGGCAGGGATCGACCGGTTTGTTCACGGATGGATGTGTTTTTTCCGTGACCGGGTTTTCTCGTGGTTGTGCATCTTTCTCCGCCCTGTTGCATCTGCCGCCTGGGCGAATCATACGTCAACCCCACCAACACCATCACAGCACCATCACTATCACCGCCATCGAAACAACCAATACATTTATCTGCGCCGGACATTGGCGTTAACTCTCCAAGCGCCACCTTCAATCCATCGCACTTCACTACCTGTGATAGTCAAAGAAACCTTTCGTTGGACCTACCCAGCGAGCATGCGTAGAACGTCCTTCATGGCCTTTTCCTCTTCGCATGCCTTCTTTTCTGCCGCTGATGCTTTGTTTTTCCTGCTGCCCTTTTTCCCCCGAGGACTGCCGCCTTGCCGTTGCCCGGCCATCAGATCCGAGAGCTGCTGTGACGGGTAACAACAGCTGATTACAACATTTTGGAACGTTCACCGCACGCAGTACTGTAGTCAAGAACTGCAGGGCAATATGTTTGGCGCAAAGCAGGGTGGGGGTGGGCGTACCTCTTTGAACGACCACACCTCGTCTACTCTGGACTTCCCTTGGGCGGCCGGTCGAAGCACAAGGAAGTCTGCCTGAAGGTCGAAATAGTGAAAGATCCCTGGGAGAGAGCGCTTCGACACGTGTACGATGTGGTATGCATACGTACGTATAGAATTCATGAATGAGGAGGAGTACGCCAGCGAAGAGGTTTCTCTTTCCCTTTCCCAGCCATGAGGAGAGGTAACTCTCCCTTTCCCAGCTGGGCGGCTTTAACAGCTTTCGCCAGCCGGCATCTTTCCATGTGCGTTCATATCACGTACACGTTCAATGGTGCCAGTCTTGGAAGAATGCGAGGTCGCAACGCGATGGCATACATACTTGGTACGGCGCGGTACGTAGAATGTGGACAGTGGACAGCAGTACATAATGTACTGCTGAACAAAAACAATCAGTCGACATGTGGATATAGCCTAAGACATCGACCCTCGCTTGTCCCTCAGTACTGTAATAGCAATCCGGGTGCAGGCATTAGACTCACCGAGCAAGTGGAACTGCGCTGGGTAGGAAAATATGTGGCAGTTGGTGCCACCTCAGGTGTTTTGATTGCCCCCCCGGGCAAATACAGACACAGCAAGTAATCTCACAGGATCGTTCGTTTTACCCCCCCAAAAAACCCGGACAGATAATTTTACTTTTGATATAGGCCTACAGTTACTAGAGATAGTGCTGCGCTCAGAGACCCCAGGTGGGTGTCCCCGTGACCCTAAGATCTCTCTCCCCGCCGGCCGCCTTCGATGGACCCGCGGCAGAGTAGCGAAACATCGGGCTAAAATGCAGGGAGACTTTTGGCGGTTGAGAATCTACCGCTGTAAGAAGGGATCGGGAGCAGTGTTGTTGTAGAACATTAAGGAAAACTAAATACACACACAGAAAGACTACCCATTCGAGATATACCCACAGTCGAACGGGATGTGGTGAATGTCCGCGTAGCAGCGGAATGTGACCTCCCAGAGTTTCCTTCTGATTCTCGCATCACAGGATGTAGATAAATTTTATACCACCCTGTGAACACGTTACTATTCGCTCTTTATCCTTGGCGTATCGCCCAACATGCTTGTCTTGCTACTGCTGTATCCGCAGGCCCAAGTACGATATTCGATATTTGAAACAAGCAGCTAACACTGATATATTCAGTGTAGACTATAGACCTCAACAGAGATTCAAAATACGCCCAGCTTCCAGCCGGTTTCCCTCCACTCGCTGTAAGGACTTCAGCACATCCCCTTCGACTGTTGGGGTTTTATCTCAAACAGGTATCTGTCTTTTCTGTGTATTTAGTCTAGACTAGCTATGTGTCATAGTCAATAGTAAAAAAAAAAACAATGAGAAACCTCATGAGACCTCATGAGGTGTCATGAGGTCCCATAGCACCTCACGGGACATTCCATGGCACCTCACGGGACATCTCATGAGACGTCTCATGAGACACATCACACGAGAAGTCTCGTGAAACGCCTCGCGGGACCTCCAGAGACGTTCCACGAGACATCTCGAGACATATAATGAGACGTCCCACGAGGGACCTCATGATACCTCGAGTGACCTAATGACAGCTCATATCACACCTCATCACACGTCATGGAACCTCATGGGCCTACATGTAATGAGACCTCATGAGACCTCATGGCACCTCATGCTCATATGGTACGTCATGATAGCTCATGAGACTTCATGTTAGCTCATGGTACCTCATGACACATCATGAGGCCTCATGGGACCTCATGGAACCTATGACACCTCATCATACCTCATGGCACTTCATGGCTGCCTATGGAAGCTCATGATAGCTCATGAGACCTCATGGCACGTCATGACTGCTCATGGCACACCTCACGATAGCTCATGATACCTCACGAGACTTCGTGACGCCTCATGGTACCTCATGGCACATCAGGGGACCTCATGGCACCCATAGTACCTCATGAGACCTCATGGTACCTCATGGCACCTCACGACTGCTCATGGTACTTCATGTTAGCTCATGACACATCGTGAGACCTCATGACAGTGCATGGGACCTCATGGCTGCTTATGATACCCCATGACACCTCATGGGACCTCATGACACCTCATAGCGGTTCATGACGCCTCAACAGCTCATGGCACCTCATGACAGCTCGTGATACCCCATGGTACCTCGAGACACCTCATGAGACCTCTTGGCACCGCATGGTCCCTCATGATACCTCATGGTGCTTCGTGATACCTCATGATACCTTAAGACCGCTCACGAAACCCCAGGTACCTCATATTGCCTCACGACACCTGATGGTACCACATGAATTCTAATGATGCATCATGACACGTCATGGTACCTCATGGTACCTCACGGCACCTGATGAGACATCGTGAGATCTCATGATGCCTCATGGTATGAAAACAATACAGAAATAGCAGGACGAAAAAATCAGAAGAGTGCACTGAAAATCAACCCGCGCCAAAAAATAAAGGATGCAGAAAAGGTCTCCAGCCTAATGTGGCACCACGTGAAAGTTAGTGTCAGATTTCGGACAAAGGAGACCAAAACGAAGAGCCAGCGGTTCTCATTCAATTCCCACTCGACACGTGAGGTGAAGCGCGGAAAGCGAGAAAAAACAGCGTGAACGATCACCAATCATATGATCACAACCTTTGTCCACAACGGGGCGTGTTCACTGCCGGTTCACACCGACCATGACATTTTGCCCCATACATATGCATACCTACAAATATGTGGGGTGCTCGAACATAGGAAATATTTCTAGCGCCACGGCTATTCTCTCGTTCTATTCGAGTGCCACACCCCTACCCCCGACGCCGCTATCCTGGTACCCGAAATATATCTCAAGCGCTATTGCAAAAAACGACATGTATACGTCCCGCGACGGCAGGCCCCTCGCAACCAGCTAACTGCACCTGCGAAGAGGTGTACAAGATAGTCACCAGCACCGGACTTCAACAACAGGGCAACAACGCGTTGCCCAAGTCGCGAAAGAAAACACACGGCCACCGGAGGCCCTGCAACCATATTCCTGCCGGTACCAACGACTCACAGTCCCCCCACTGGAAAAACGCCTGCTTCACACAGAGGCATGTCTCATGAAGGTGATGAACACCCGGGGCCTTTCGTGCGTCGCAACGCGTGTTAGATAGAGACCCCGGAATCAAGCTTTCATTTGCTGCCCAACCCTCGCCCGAGCGCGTGTCAGAAGGACCGCTCTCCCCGTATTCTCGTCCTCATGTCCAGCTGACCGCGCTTGCACTCAAAAAACGACTGGTGATCCTGCCTGCAGAACTCCCTGCGGTTTTGTTGACACGAATGAGCCCAAGATTTGAACGGGAAACAGTCTCGGTGGGGAGTCACTAGGAGCACCAAATCCCCTCGTCTTGAAAGCTTGAAAATGGGTGGACGTGCAAGAAAGGCCAGTCAACGCCACAACGGGGTCGTGCTGGACAAGACTCCAAGAAATCCACACTGCCCTCTAACGTGGCACATAGATGAAACTAGAAAGTCACCACCGGCGTTGGATGGCCTACAAAAGCAGCACCCCCCCTCCCCATTGAGCATTCGCCACAAACCTGTCGGATGTTTTCAGGCAATCCTTCAGGCGGCCACCATCCTGTGGACAGACGACGCAAGAGGAGGCGCCACGCGAGAGAGGGGGGGGCGGGTGGAGCGAGCCAGAGAGGCGGGCGCGTTCTTCATCACATACATGAGGAAGGCCGAGCACCCTGGCTTTGAGGAAGGGCTTGAGAAATGCGAGATCGATACTGGTGTTGAAGACCACACAGCCTGCGTATTTTAGAGGATGGGTGAAGCAGCACCAGCACGCAAACTGCTGCGCGAAATCACAGCAGTCTGCCGAACTAACTGCTCGCCGAGCTTTCCGTCATCAAATGCATAGCTACCGATTCTTCGACATGCGTGCTTTCTTCTCTTTCAATCCATCACAAGATCGCTGCCATCTGACCCGGCAGATGTCGCCATGACTTGTTGTCCAGGAAATGCCCAAGCGTTGATGGGATCCAATAGGGGAAAATACCGCAAAACAGAGCAGGTTCGGGCATTTATGGCAAAGCACAGCACACCCAGCGAGGGTGGACCGTCGCTCTTTTCCGAACGCAATCAGGTATCGGATCGCACTAGATTCGGCTGTCGAGTACACAAAATACACAAGCCTCCTGCGACAACACTGGAGTACATGTCAGTGCCGAGTCATGGGCGCGATGTGGCATAGGATATGTGGTGTACCACTGGGTTGAAGAGCTTCGTTGGGTGTGCCTACCTTCATGCATTGAGTTTTTTTCATGCAGGCGTAAAGAGCCCGCGCGGCCTCCTTGCAATCCCTCCCCATCGTTTGCTTGTCGCCCAGAGCAAAAACACCTCCCTGTGGAATCTGATATGGCACAGCAGTAAACGCGGACCCGGGAGGCAGCAGCATTCTGGGCGTTCACAACACGAAGCGGCTTCCTCTTTGTCTCAGCTGCCTAAAATCCTGGCATGTGCGCGTCTGCCACAAGCTGCTCCTTTGCTACAGTAATCTTGCCCATGATATACACAATTGCAGAGCACTCTGCTCTTTATGCGAGATGACTCGCACCACCAGCAATCCTCCCTCGTTTACGTCGGATGTTGCATGTTCACGGACAGGCGCTTTCGAAACAGCGCGACGCCGGGATCACAGCTTATGATGTTTTGACTGTTGTGGGTTTGAGGTTATGAATTTTGAAGCGGGGGCCTGTGTGTCAGACATCCTGCTGGAAACAGGCGCACTTTACTACTGTAGGTGGCACCTGCCTGTCGTCGTGACCGATTCTTTACTGTATGCACACGAAACAATTGTAGAGGGTGGAACCTCCCGCCCTTCTTCATTCGTTCTGCTGCTGTAGAGGCGCCACCAGTGAAATCGCCAGGAAAGGGTACAAATGTGCGGGGTTCCCTGTTGATACAAGTGTACTGCAAAGTCGAAAGGGCACTAATGTGCTGCTCATGTGCGGTGTGGTGCGATCGGTAGATTGTAGGTGTACTGGCTGCTGTACCTCGTTCTGTTGCCCATGCTCGAGCGCACAATGCACGGAGAGTCATTATCCAACACATTGACAACAACAAACGGTGGACATTGCTACGCTAAAAAAGCACTCTGGTGCGGAAAGTCAACGAGGAATGGGCGCTATATCGTGCACTACTGCTGTACACATGCCCTGCTGGTTTGAAGGTGGTACCGGCGCGTTCGATGCTAGTACTCGTCGTGTGACGTGATGATAACCACGGTGTACTCCCTCATCAGACAAGTAGCGACCGCGAGGCAAATACATAGCGATGTTGCACGCGATTACGCACAATGCCATACGTGCACTAGCTCTAACCTCCTCTCACGTGGTGTGTCGTCCCCCCCTTCTGGAAATGTTTGGTTCGTCGAGACGGGCAGAACGCAGCCGTGTGCCTGCTTGCCTGCTTCGCCGAGTGTGGTTGCGCCGCATGGAGTCAGTGCTCGCATCACGGTGCCCCTGACTACTTGTACCCAAAAGAGCGGCCAAGCTGGGTACCCGTCAGCCAGCACAAATACAATAGTCGGGTGCCCCCAAAACACCTAAAGCTCCGCAACAGCAGAGGTGGCCTGGCAACGGAAAGCACTCGCTGACTTCGGGGAATCCTCAACACAACATACCACGTACATCTCGTAACGTCTGCCTGGAACCGATTTCATTCTTCAGCTGAAGGCGGAGGGCGGAAGGCGCTCTATCGCGAACGAAATATACACGGAGGCAACGCGCGTGCGGGGTGCTGGAGAGGAGGAACGATGGTTATGGTTGGGAGTGCAAGCATCCAGATTGCACCAAGGAGCCCACCTTCGGTGCGTTGGGCAACGAATGGCCTTGAAAAGTAATGTTGGTGGAGTTTTGAGGGGTATCTCGTGAATATCGAATAGGCGAACACCCCAGTCAGCTATTCATACTGCCTGTAGTCCATGAAACTGCTGTTGCTGTTTTGAAAATGAATCTTGAAAGCTGGATGTTACCATTTCATCTCAGGTAATGGACCGTTGATGAAATATATAAATATATGACACATTCAGATCTCCAGGTCCTTCCGGCAAGACAGACCAATACTAGACAGGGCGGGGTAATGAGCCGCGGGGTAGCGACTCAATGCCTTGCAGTAGTCTTACAAGGCATCCCTCCGGAGTGGGGTAAAAGAGAGCACCGCGGCAAAGGGGTGATGCAAGAGCATGCAAAAAAAAGAAAAAGCACAAAGAGGAAAAACAGATGTTGAATGCGTACGGAGAGCACATGTTACTTCACTTCATATCGATACACTTCCCAAAAGAGGAGTTTGACTGCGCCATTTTTGGGAGCTTGGCGAGCTTTTCGTTCGATACAAAGATCCGTCTGTAGGAGTTTGGCTGCAAAAAAAGCACTTCTTTCAATTTTCTGGAGTTTTGTTGGTTGAAAGCCCGCATGCCGCGGCATGTGTAAAGTATGTGCGTGCGTGCTGACGTCCCGGCCTCAGGCGTAACGGTCTGCACGGGGATGTGTGCATTGCTCTGCATCTCTGCTGACACAGCCACCCGACATACACATAGATAAATACATGGCTCGACTGCTGCTGAAAACTACATGGTGCTGCTTACCCTATCTATGTACAACAGCAGTTACCAAATATTTCAGCAGTAGTTTCGGGATCATGGCGGCCAGCAGAACGACTTGAGCAGCGATGTCATCAAGCGGCGTTTTTCTCGAAGCCAAAAACGCACACACACTCCCACCCTAGAAAGGGCAGCCAAGCGAACATGTACGTATATGTCACCTGCAACAACGCTCAGCTGTTGTTGGTATGGTTCAACATCAGATCAGAAATAGCTGTTCACCCTCCTACGTGTTTGGTTGAATCTGACGTCTTCTGCCGGGCTGTTCGAGACGACGGGCCCGACTGGCCCGACAGCTGACGTGACAGCTGGACGGAACCAGTGCAAATTCTTCGGACAGCCCAAGGAAATTTCCTCACAGTCCTGTGGAAGCTTCCAAATCTGTAACTAGTTTTAAAATGCGATGCTGATGGTGCACGAATCCCGACACGCAGCAGCGTGAATCGTTTGTGGTGCAGCTGCGCGTGCACCAGAGGGACAGGGGGTGCGACGGGCGCAACGATGGTTGTATGTGCGGCCCCCGTTCAAAATTTAGCAACTTACGTGCGGTAGTTTCTTTTCCGTTGATGCACATGCAAACACACACGAAGGAACAAAATATGAAGTCTTCCCGCCGTGCGGGCGCAAACAAACACGCACTTCTGGACATCTGGAAGAGGCACGCATGCGGCATATACCTGGCGGCAAGCGTATCACACATACATCACACCGCCGAGGAGCACGACCAGCAGCGTAGACATAGGACTGTGACAAGACAGATGGCACATAATTTGCGTCAGGCATTCAGCAAAAAATGGTCGAAAAAATCAATTGGGGAAGCAGCCGTGGGCACACGGCAATCTATAGCAAAATATTATTTCAGTGAAAGCAGCAATGAAGAGTGAATAGGACCAACGACTACGCACGTAACGTCATATGCATAGGAACGACGAGTGTACGCACTCACTTTTTGACGATGAACAGTTGGTGTCGGTCCCGGTCTTAGTTTGGGTCGTGCCGAACGCTTAAACGCTGAAAATGTGTACACTTTCAACCTGTGCCTAGAAATTTGTGTTTCACGTTTGATCTTGATCATCATATCTTTTGCTGTAGAGGTACTATTGTTCATCCTTGGCATCCACGATTTTACCACAACACTTTCAACCCGTTCGAGCATTTTCTGAAAATGAATTACGCGTGCGAGAGGCTGAACATGTTGGAACCCGTTGAAATCCTTCCGTTGAGAATTTTGTGTTGCCAGATAGAAAGGAATACGCACTCCCATATGACGGGGTCCCATGTGTGGGCTATTACCCGCATCCCCATGTGCAGGTGTGGAACGGCAATAACAACAACATCAGCGCGAGACAGCGACAACGAGAGCACGGCAGCAACAGCAAAATCAGTGACAGTTGCACACCAACGGCGCGCGCTGACAGGGAAGGGAAATCTGTCGATGGCTTCGTGTCGCGTGCCTTCCCCTCTTGTACTGGACGACTATCCTCTCGGTCGACCGGCCCCTGTCAAGTATATGGAACCATTCGTCCAAACTAGAGGCGCCTCCTTGCAGATAGTGGTGGTAGGATACGAAGGAAGGAAAGTGCTGCCGTAGTTTGTTGTGTTTTAGAAGAAACGGAGACAGCAGGTCAACAATTACTTCGAGCCTCCTGACCACCAAGGTTGGTTGTCTTCGCCCCCCCCTATTCATCTACGAACGCTACGCTGGCTCAAGTAAAGGGGCATGGGTGCCATTGCTTGTATCCCAACGAGTTCGTGAGCCGTTTGGTGTTGTGTTATCTTGCTATCGCCTCGACTTAAACTCAGAGAGTTCCTGCAGGTATTATCACCAGTCTTTTTTCGACCACAAGCGCACTCAGATTGACATGACAACGAGAACATGGGGAGAGCAGGTCTTTCGACGCATGTTTTTGGTGGGGCTCGGTGGGTTAACGGGAGTCAGATGCCGGCGTCTCTCTAAAACACGGCTCCGATGCACGAACGGTCCAGCGTGTTTGCCTCACCTCACGAGACACTTCGTTGGTCGGGACAAAGGTTCCTTGTGTCTACTGCAAGCCGTGCGCTCGCCGACACTAACGGTAGTGTTGTCTCTGTCTTCTCTCTCGTTTGTGAGTTGTTTAGAATGCTGTAAACTATTCTGGGCTCACGCCGGGCAGGGCCGTACCATCGCGACGTTGCCTCCTTACGCTCCCCTCGCCACTCACTATTCAAATCCGGCAATAGGACACCTGTAGCGGGTAATTTTGGAACTATCTTAATCCTCACTGAACTTCTTCTGGACTCTTGAGCCTGCCATTTCCTCCAAACTCGCAGACATGGCAGATGGTGTGCAGTTGCCCCCAGCCAGTCAAGAGAGCAGGAAGGTAGCTCTACTCCCACTTTCGCAATCGCAAATGCACTCCCCCTCCTGGTAGCACCGTAAAACCGGCCTGCATGTCTTTGGTCAAGCCGGCATCCACGGCCCCCCGGCTTCCCGCTGCCTCGCTCTCATCGATGGCATCGTCGTTGGAGGCTGGAGAAAAATCCAAGGCTAAGCAAATGCGGGCAAGAAGTATCCGTAGTGCCACGCCCGCGAACGGTCGCCCCACGCAGCCGCGCGGACCCGAAGCGTAGGGAATGAAGGACCCTGCGGGCTGAAAGGATTGAGATGCGACGAGAGGGGGGAGGGGGAGGGGTGTCAAGTGAGAGGAGGCGGTATCTTCGGGGGAGGGGGGATACGCACGTGCTACTTGTCTCTTCTCATGTTGTCATTGACTGCCGACCCCGTTAGACAGGGCGTTGCATGAAGCGGTACCGCATTCGTCTAGTCTTCAAACGGATCAACTAGGCTGCCAGAAATCTTGTACTAAGGGCGACGCCGCAGGTGATTGGGGGGCAGGTGGTAAAGAGTGTCCACCGCACCCTTGACGTACTGTGAAATCACCACGCACCACAATGTGGTCCAGCCATACCTGGCCGTATCTAACTTGACCTAGTTGATCAAGCGCTAGCATTGCATGCAAAAAACCAAATGAATGACATGGTGCCCAGCATCTTTGCCGCAGACACAGAAACAATTCCCCACACATTCACCGATGAACCAAAAACAACAGTCCTGGAGCGAAACGGTTTCCTCATAACACGTCCCCCACATCTCGCCGCAAAACTAAGTGTGCTTCCTGCACAGCACTCCTTGCCGCAAAACTCGCCTGCCGTGCCCCGTTCAGCCACCGCCCGGGCATAAACTTGTCCGGTGATTTCCACAAAGCCGGGTGCCGGTGAAGGCCGTAGATCCACACGCACGCAAGAGCGCCGGCCGGCAACAAGGTGCCTGGTTATGTTTTGTTTTCGCAGAATTTCGAAGAGCGGAAGACAGGGGTAGGGTTGTCAGGGCAACAAACAACAAGTTGTGGGAGTGGCATAGCCAAGGGAAGAAGGTAAACTTCGGCAGGAAACGAAAATGAAAGGAATTTTCTCGCGGAGGGATGCTGCTGAAGGAAGAACATGGCATTCGCAATGACATGCTGTTGGGTTTGGATCGGGGTTTTACGCAAGAGCGGAGTTCGGCGTTGATCGTTGGTTCGGGGGGATTCCACGGTTGTAGGGAGCCCCAGGGGGACCTTCAAGATTATACCAACAGCAGATTGTTTCCATAGATGGCCATGTCGTTATTGTTCGCTCCAACTGCCTACCGTTGCACGGCCACCTGGTCCCGACTGCAAGCCTTCATACCCACCGATCGCTCCCGTACTTAGTAAAAACACAAATACCCTAAAAAGCGGTATGCGCCGAAATCCCAAGCCACCGGCTCATGCGCACTATTGCATTCTTTGAGTTGAACCTGGTGCCTTGGCGTCTCTAGCACGCAACAAGAGAGAGGAAGTTCATAAGTGTGGAGAGGGGCCCAGGACCTCAACAAAAACGTTCAGCCTTTAAGTAATTCTGCTAATGGCCCAAACGTGCCTTGGCTAATCGCAGGTATGCGCTACTCTGCTGTGTCATGTAACCGCCTCTCGACACGCGGATTAAAAACACGTAAGGTTTCGCGTGCACGAGACTATTGGACCTTCGCCGAGCCGCAGTGGTGTATACCTTCAATAAATTGAAGCGAACAGGCAAGGCAATACTAGATGCACTAAATAGCGAAACCACCTCCGTTGCGTCGAACGTTTGAATGTTCTTCTCGCCGTCGTCGAGGGAAGCTATGTCGAACACGACCGGGGATGCAAGCTTAATTTCCCAGGAAACAAACTTCTCCGCCGCGGTACCAGTACGCACTGCTTATACGGGCGTCTTTGAAATTGGAAAATACGCAACATGCCACCACCCACCACCGCTACTGGTAAGCTACTACTCGCGCAACATTCCATCAGCGTTACCAATACTATTCCTTTCGAGATTACCGTTAAACCTACGTGTGTCACTATAATGTAGTGGTTCGCCCTCCTCACCGTCTTTAAGGCGCAGATCAGTCGACAAGTGCCGAACGACAAAGGGCGCAACCGGATACAGCCGTTGGGACTCCCGGATGCACGCGTCCACCATGGGCAGGAGAGGGCGGCGTTGTTGCCGAGCCTCCTCGTTGTGGTTTCGGGTGGCTGGGGCTGTGAAACCACCATCGCCACCTCCAGCGCAGTCAACGTAGCCGTCGGGGCTCCCTACTGCCGCGAGCACCTCTCGATGCACCTAAAGATAAAACAACGACGAGAGGACGCGTTATTCTAAGATTGATCTGCGCGCGGCATCGACTGCTCAAACCGACTGAACCTACGGGACGTCGATCTCCTGCGCGAAAATACAGGAAAAGAAACGCCTTCTTTTCCCCCCGAGTCCCCCGACATAAGGGCCCTAGACGGAAGAATACAGTCTCCGTCCTAGCTTGCATGACTCGCAATGTTTGTGTGTTAAGTACTAGGAAATACAGCAAGTGCCCCGAAAGTCGTGAGTACGAATGAAACCGCCGTTCGTTCTTTCGATAAAGATGGAAAATTCGAAAAAGAGGTGCGGATGAGGCGCGACCCGTTGGCCCTGTGAGGGAACCTCGGTACTGGTAGTTGGGTTTCCTTGAAGAATGGATTATCCTGTAGACCATCGAACTATACCTCGAGAAGGTGGGGCCTGTTCTCGGGGAGCGACAGGAGGTGCATCGTCCAGCTCAGGGTAGCTGCGCTCGTATCCTGCCCGGCGAAGAGCAGCGTGATCGTCTGTTGCGCGCATACACAGCATCAAGCACACAGAGAGAGAGGAAGCAAGGCACCAGATTAAGCTTTGACGGTCGGGCTTATACGAAAGTATTCAGACCCCTACAGCACCATAGGATGTGCTAGACAGATGGTACACACTCATTGTCCACCTGCAGACAAAAGAATAAATTACGTATAACACCCAACATCATCGCGCAAGCGACGCAAGAACACCAGCAACTTATTTTTTGCCCGCGACCTGCGAACCCGCTTGCCTCGTCTCAAGAATTTTGGAGCCCCCAATGTCCTTTCCCCCTTCCGTGCAAAGTCTTCACCTGAAAACGCTTTCTGAAGAAAAAATGTTAAATAAACACGGAGAACGCATCACCAAATTCCACATTAAACTCAAACTACAAATTCTGCCAAACACACGAGTGAAGGCTAAAAGTGACGTTTCAGAAGAGCCCTTCCCCAGAAATGGACTTGTTGGTTGGTTTGAATATTGCAACAATAATAGTCCAATCACATTCAATATTGATCACGAATCGCTCAACGATCGGCAGTCACCTACCGCCCGCCCATGTTTTTCGCTGCGACACAATCACTCTTAGCCAGGCCGAGTCAACAAACAATCCGGCTTACCTCGTCAACCATGGATCCAGGATACGCCCTGTGGCTCTCCCGCGCCGCCATGTTGAACAAAGCTGTCTTCGGTGCGTTTTCTCCCGATCGACCTCCCGCTGCCGTCCCTCTTCCTTCCTCCCTCGAACCTCCACCGACGGCAGAGCGCTTGCCACTGCGGCCACCTTCTCCTATCAGTGTCGAGACGGCCTCCCTTGCCATCGCTCCTTCGACCCGGTTTGTTTTTCTGCTTGTGCTACTGTTGGTGACCGTGGTGTCGCCAGCGCTAGAGCCTCCAGCCGTGTCTCGGCTGTTGCCTCCGGTGCACCGCACACCGTGTTCTGGTTGATTTTTCCCGCCGTCTGCAACGGCGGTCTCGATAACCAGTTCCGCAAACTCCCGGATGGGAAGCATGTTTTTGGTCTCCCGGGCGTGGAAGGGAGAGAAGGCTCGGTACACCCAGCCCCATGCAAACATCCAGACGCTTCTAGAGTTTCAGTGTGACAGAGACGGAGGAAGGAGTATTCGAAATGCACTTTAATGGTACAGCAGCAGCAAAGCAACGTTCAGTGTCCTCGAACTAACCGTCGGTCAGCCGTCACAGCGCCATTTCCTGGCAAAAAACCCCAAGAAAAACACTGTTTACCACCCCAGGATATCAGCAAAGGCATATGCTATAGATTTTACTCCTTGCACCGTTCAGAATGATTCAACATCATACGCAGCAATGCATCGAAAGCTACCCCATATTTGTGCAGGGGCTTGGACTTGTCACGACAATTCGCCAGAAAGGCTTCAGCGCCAACGTTTGCCGAAAGCGGTCGCCCGGAGATGTATCATCCTTTCACGGCCGACACAGACTGAACGTTCTTGTTAAATGCTTTTCAACCCAAAGTCAACAACAACAACAGCAGCAACAACTCCAGAGCAACAAAGCGCAGGTCCTGCCATTACTAGTTGGAGAGCCAGAGCATACCTGGAGCGCGCCAGGATGACCATCCGCATATCCGTCACTGCATCTAAGTATCGCGAAAGAAGGTGTTTTCTTTCCGGGGACGCACACACGTTCTCCCCCCCGCAGAGAAAGCGGTGGACCAGATTGAGCGTATGGCACTGGAGGAGTCTGACGACCTCAACCTCCAGCTTGGATTGTGATGATCGTTTGTGGTTGAAGAGAGCAAGGGAAAGGGTTCCAATTCTGTTGTTAACCTGTTGTTGCGTATCACACAGTGGTTGTGGTGTTTGCTGAGCAAATGGTTGCCCATGGTCTCAAATCGCATGGGGCACAACGTTTTGGAATACCTTATACTTGAATACACTACTCGGTTGAATGTGCACCTGCCGGCCGCTACAAGCTCAGCAAGTCTAGACTCGTACCGCCACTAACCTCTCCTCCTTTCTCCCGCAAGGCTTCCACCTCTCTCAACAGCGAGTCCGCTTCCTCATTGGCAAGCACCGCCAACGCCTTCCCGCTTCCAACCGCAGCACCGCGCCCTCCGCCAACCTCACCGCTCACGACCCCTCTCGTATCGGCAACACCACCACCGGAGGCGGTCACAGCGCCCCCTCGGAACAAGGCGTGCGCCACGGTTGCCCGTTTCTTCCTCCATTCCTCCCCGTCCGCCGTGAACACGCCTCTTCCGAAAAAACTCCCGAAGTGGTCATACCCAGGCCGTTTCGTATGCTGCGCAAGGGGGGCGGTGTGGAGCAGCAGAGTTTCCACTTCTCTGAAGGGCTCAATAGTTTCGTTGATATCGTGTTTAGAGCACTTCGTGCCAACTCTTGCTCTGTTCTAGTTCAAATTCTGCAAAGACGGTCGACGTCGACGAACGCATACGCCCGGGAGAAAGCCAGCAAGTCTCTGCACATAAAACCATGAGCGCTTCAGTGCCGGAGGGACAGGAACATCCACGAACACATGCGGCGTTCCGCCCAGGGTGGTTGGATTTCACATCTCCTGTAAAAATAGGAAGACAATTGCCTGCTCAAAACAAACGTGGGTGCTGTGGCAACACCGCTGTACGCTTCTGTCTCATGGCCTTCACATATCGCAAAGCAGCTCGCCTGGGAAAGCACCAGCGTGGCAGCCTCCGGGTCGGCGACATGCACGACGGCCTGAGTGCCTGCCGAGGCGAAAAACACGACACACACGGCCGCGTGGGAGACGGGATTTTCATCAGAGGGCCGGGAAAAGACATCGGCCTTGACTGCTTCAAAAACGGGGTCAACAACCCTCCAGGGCCCAGACAGCGTACGCGCAGCCCTGACAAAACACTAGGCAAAGGGGGGTAGCTCTTGCATATTGTCCTCTCCCGCTCCCACGATACAACCACTCTCAGAACTTTCTTCGACGGCAGCGCCAGGAAACACGGGCAGCCCGTTCCTGCCCTTTAGACATAGGCTTGCACATTCTGCGTGTTGAAGAAAATACGCAACAGATTTTGCATGGTTCGGCGTGAGGATCGCGAAAACGACGGCGACGGCCCTCACCGAAGACCGTGCCGTACATCCCGTGAGGCCCCTCAAGCACCTCCATCCGTTTGAGCACCCTCGACAGACTTGAACCCTTCTGTCGGCGGCCGTCCATGCGCCAAAACTTCGGGTACCACAGCACCACAGGAAGGCCTACAAATATGGGCGTTGAGGTGTTCGTGGGGGGGGCAGTTGGCGAAGAGGGGAAAGGAAAGTGGGCGCATGGCGCAACACATGCAGTGGCGCGCAATGTTCTTATTTTGTGTCCTCGATTAGAGGCGGAAGATATGTCCGCACCAGAGTCAAACCAGAGGTCTGAGATTGTGGTGGCGCTACATGCTGCTGCACGCCCAACAGAAGTTGACCAACTACCGGCGCATATATTGTCGAGCATATGCCATGTAGAGGGAGGCTTTCCGGCTGAATGCGGCGGCACAGTGTGGGTGCATTGTTGCGCGCGCTTCACCATGTGTGTGTACATTGTTGGGGTGCACTTCAGCATGCGTGTACATCCAACGCGCGCACGCACTTGCAGCACTTCATGAAAAACATTGTGGGGCCGGTGCGTTCTGTTAGAGTACGGGCAATCACGCTATTATCTTTAGTGGCACGCGGATACGAGCGCACGTTTTACCGTGACTGGAGTAGCCTACCACTGACACGAAAATCTTGATTCGGCTTCCTCTGAAAGTTTTCCGAAAAAAAAACTCATGTAGCATCATGTGTCGTCAACGAATCAAAGCAAATGGTCGCACCTGAACGAAACGGGGGGGTGGTGAGTGGTGGAAGAAAACCAAGAAGGCGGGGAATTCGGCGGGGGAACTCGCTTACGTGGTCCTTCATGCACCGACCAAAGGTATCATCACATCTCGGGGTTCGCCAGGGTAGATGGAGCGGGTGTATTTTGAAGCTCGAACATCGCGGTCGGGCCGAAGACATCGCAATCGCAGCTCAAGAGGGAGACTCGAATCAGTGTTGGAGCCGTAGCGCCAGACTCGGCCGCAGAACGGCAGCAGCCGCATCAGAGCGCTCTTTCTTCAGAAGCGGTATCATTTGGCGATCTTGTAGACTTCGTGGTTTGCGCGCCGTCGCTCTCTCTCTCTCTCTCTCTCTCTCTCTCTCTCTCTCTCTGTCTGTCTTTCTCTCAGTCTCTCCCCCTCTCTTTTTTCTGGCATGCGGTGGCTGCTGTATTCGTTGAATAGCATGATATGCGTGTACTATTGTGGGTGGGGGGCATCACTGCTGCCGTTGAATTGTGGAATTGCGACCTCGTGACGTGCTTGTTGAGGTACAGAGAGTAGCACAAATCATGTGTCATGTCACTTCACGTCAACCCTGCAACCTAAACACTAAGCTCAGAGGCAGAAGTCCACGAACTCCCCCTCAACGACAAATGAAACAGCAACAGAAGGCTCGTGCATCCCACTCACCGGCCCGGACACGCAGGATGTAGTATGCTCGGAGCATGCCTAGGCCCACCTTCCCTAGCGTTGCAGCCGAGAGAGCCACAAGTGCTACCAACGTCCATGATGCCAGAGGGAACTCCAGATCAGGGAGGCCCATCCCGTCGCGGCAGTAGTACCACTAAGCGTCAGCAGCAGCACCCGCCACCCTTTTTAAAAGGGTATCGTGTCCGTTGGACGCCTGCTGCGTGCTCTTTCACGACTCACGACACCGCGAACTCGGCGGTGCGTGTGTGTTGGCGCAAACCGGGACTGTCAGGAGTTACTAAGGGACCTCAGCATGCGGGGTTGCGCTCCGCGAGCCCCCCCGATATGCGCAACACGCAATCATGGGGCTTTATGGCACACCACAGCACTGACAAGTGATAAGGTACGCGCTCAAATGGGGAACGATAGTGGGGACCTGTCGGTCCAGGAGAGGGAGGCCAATGTGTCTGCCCAGCTGGAGGAACTGGAAGCCCTTGAAGCGATATATGGGGAAGGTTATGAGGCCGTGAGAGGTTCCGCCGCATCGCCGCAGGTTTGTTGAAACATTTCATCCGCCTATTTTGCTTTAATCCGCCGTGAGTGTCGCTGTACAATACATTGACATGCGTGGCACCAGCCGCAATACGATTGGCTTTCTACTGGCCAGTTTACATGTTGGGTGTTGGGTGTATTCCTTCCGTCCGTAGGTGCTGGCGGCGTCCTTATGCACGTTGCATCCGAAAACAACCAGTAAACAGCTGCATGCAGTTCGTTTTGAAAGAACTTCGCCCCATCGCCCATCGCGGGCCGCACCGCGAATATGTTCACGACCTACTACTGTACCTGTTTGACGGGTTCAAAAGCTAACGCTTATGTGAGGTGGTTGAACTTGCACCTGACACTAGGCCTACCTGCTGTGTTGCGTCCTCGCGCGCAGTAATTTTCAGTATGAGTTCATTCGGAGTCAGGGGCAAGGCCTGTATGCTACTGCAGGACGGAACAAGCAGTGTCTCGTTGTTCGAGGTTAGACTTGTATCATAGCTCCCGGCCTCTGTCGGGAGCAGCAGCTCTTAGGTTAGCATGCTTCGTAAGGTGTGAAGAGGCTCGGGTTGTTCACTGCCGCGACCGGCGCCTCTGCGAACCCTCCGAGTTGACAGCACAAAAGTAACACCCGCTTGGTGCGGGCTAGATATACGTCACACGCGGGGAGACAGCAACGAGCGCCCCACCCAGGCTGCCGTACCAACATGAGCCGCGTTTATGGTACGTCTGTCTCTTGGATTTGTTGGATTCCAGCTTCGCATCCGGGTGTCCGAGATCCCGCTCGTTAGCCTCCACTTGCGCTTACCTGTGGGGTACCCGTCCCGCGACTTTCCCGAATTGGAGATCAAAGCGCCGGGGCTCGGGCAGGCGGCACGCAGGAAAATCCGCGAAGGTGCGTCGAATTGAAAGAGAGGTAGAGCGTACGTCCAGAGGAAGAAGCGGAGAAGAAGCGACACCAACAGTTTTTTGCGAAGGGCCTTGGAAAGAGGCACCGTTCACCCCATTGTTCACAGTACTGTAACCGCATCGTGCTGCATACAAACAGCCGTGAAGGCCTCATGCTTGAACGTGGCACAACTCTGGTGCCGAAAATCGATACCAGATCTTGCCCCGTGTTTTCTGTGCGGTGAATTATTGTCCTCCACAACAAGCACCGCTTTAAATATATCTGCTGTATATCATCAACAGCTTCAACGCGACCGACTTCATCAGCAACAAGTTCAAGTAATCGTGTTATAATTTTGTGTGTTTGTTACGAAGTATTTGGAATTTGTTCTGTCCGTGTGAACCAGCGTATTCTTTCGGTAGTCGATATTCGGCCTCGCACCATCATTGGTTCACGATCCATGTAGGATTGAAAGTTATGGTACTTTGGTTTACGCAGGAAACAATAGCAGGTACTCTTTGCAAACGCAAGAATAGCACAAGTAAAACTTGAAACATCACTTGGTGCATTAGTGGTTGAAAAGCGTGAAACGATTTGAGTTACCCAGGAAACGAATGTACTTGCTAGCTTTATTCATTGAGGGGGAATGCTATGGAAATGTTAGCAGACAGCCAGTATATCGTTGATCTCATATGTGTCGGTTCGACTTTCGGTTCGAATGTAACGTACGTATGTGTATGCGGAGAGATTACCCCGCAGGATTCTCTGCTTGCTAGCCGAGTAGCTTACTCTTGTGTGATCCTTCCGGATAGTGTTGGCCACCACCTAAGAGCCAGTGTTCCAATATCTCAACATCTTGTTCACACCGTGCAAAGACTCTCGTCTTCCAGGCTACCCTCTCGCACGTGTCATCACCTCGACTAACGTCGACGACACAGCCTCAAAGCCACCATGCTAGGGTATCACACCATATCCGTAATATCCACCTCTTCCTCACACACAAGCTACATAGCAGCAATCTCCCAGTGCAGGGTATTGCTGCTAGCGTGGGAGAAACAGATATTGGATTTAGGTGGGATCGAGTCCTCTCGTTGAACTTCAGCCTCAGGACACTGTCGTCCAACTCGTGATTCCCCCCTGCTTGTGGACCCTCAAGGCTAGAAGGCGTGTTCGCACTATCATCCAGCTATATTAACGTTCTTCATTGGTCAGCCGGTTAGCGCGGTCTATTAGTTATAGACCCTCTTCTCCCTCGTCTCTCTCTCTCTCTCTCTCTCTCTCTCTCTCGCTCGCTCTCTCTCTCTCTCTCTGCCACTATTTCTCCAACACTATTCCTGACCATCTCCCTGGCTGTGGTCACCACCTCAACCACCATACTCGTGGTAGCCCTATTGCCTCCGGCTTCCCCAAGCAGTGAACCTGTGGAAGTCGGCAAACCATCCCCTGGTGGGACCGTCGTCGTTTTTGATTGGGTCGAGACTCTCCGAGACTTGCTATCCCGAACAGACTACACCAGCGGTTCTCCCGCAGCAGACGGCGGCGACAACAACGACGGCGACGAGCAAACCGTTTCGTCGCTCACCGCCACAGCGGGCAAATTTGACGAGGACGAGGAGGGAGGGGAAGAACCACTGGAAGCGGAACTCCCGGCGGAAGAGTACGTGGAGATATTCCACGGCCAGGCTTTCACGGATCGAAAGAGCACGTTCCAGGCACACCTCGCAAGGGTGTCCTCCGAGTCTCAGGTACGTGGACCGGCCTACTTGTGTTCTTGAAACAGTGTTCTAAAGGTCATTTTGGGGCAACTTTTCGAGTTTTTGCGTTGAGGGTTCTCCGACAGTCGGGTACCACGTCGTGTTTTGATTGGTTGTTGTCGGTGCTCGAGCGTTGATTTCGCACAGAGGAACGCACCTTTGTTTTGTCTCTGTTGATTTTCGATTTCCTCGCAACATTCCTCACCATACAGTTTTTCCGTCGGTCCGTTGACGTGGGCAGACGGGTCCGGAGTGGTCAATCAGGCTCCACGCGCCCGAATTTTGTCCCAAGGTCTGCAGCAGGAGATATCGGGCATGCCGTTACGGCCCCCTTACTGCGTGTGTTCCTCTGCTTCTGTCTATCTGCCTTGAGGTGTATTCGTGTACTTATGCGTGTAGACTAACATTCGAACTGCGGTCATATTGCAAGGCGGTGGATATTGGTGGTGTCTTGTGTTCCGTCATGCCGTTGTCAAGCTTTTGACAGTTTTGTTTTCGTCGGCTGTTTCCTGTTTTCCGCCGTACAGGTGACGTGGGTGAGGCGTCGACTGATGGAAAACGGTAAGGTTGCCCGCGCGACCCACAACGTGGCCGCCTGGAGAGTATGGGACGAGGCCAGGGGGGTTCAACTGCATGACAACGACGACGATGGCAAGTCCGTGGACTAGATTAATTCGGGACATATTGCGAGAAACAAACCCAGCACACAGGGCACAAAACCTTGGTTTATCCATTACCTCGAAGTTGTGTGTCCCACATGCGCCGAAAGTTCACCCTCAGCGCTTTCTCAACGATGTTTGTCAGGACGACCACCGATGGGCAATGCGGCATCATGTGGCGGGCAGAACTTGTGATGCAATACTTCCTAGACACACACAAGGCTCAACAACATTCATTCCTCGTGTGTCACGTACTTCTGCTTTCTTCTCTCTCGCCCAGGTGAGAGTGCCGCGGGCAGCCGACTGGCGCACATGCTGGCCATCACTGGGGCTCAGAACGTCGTGGTGGTTGTGTCACGGTGGTAAGACCTTCTCTTCCACATGAGCAGTGTTTTTAGGTTGTTTGGTGATACCGGTTTTCTGGCATCTTACCATCGCCCCTGAGCGGGAAGGACTCTCGGACGTTCTCTCGGTCTCACGGCAGATTCTTGCTGGCGTGTGTATGGCCCGCAAACCTGGAGGTGCCACGAGAGGAATAGCGAGCACTGCACGCCACTGATACTAAAACCCCGGTGCTGACCCACAAACGATTCATAATAGTGTACATTAAACCATGTACGCCGAGAAATCACTTGACGTGTGGATGGGTTTCTAGTTACCAAGTTGTCTCCCGAAGTCCTCTCCCGGGCAACTTTCCGTTCGAAATCAAAGCGCTTTTCGTGCCGCTGCCGATGAGGCAGGGGGTGAGTGCTTGGTCATCCATTACCCTCCCGAAGCTGGTCTCTCAGGGCGATAGTCCTAGGAACAGGGTGCATCGGCACAAGCTTGCAAACCACCAGTCGAGGAGCTCTCACGTACTCGCCCCTACGGCTCGCGTAACCGATGTATCATCACGCACAACCCGGGCCAAACCCTAACTCAAGCAACTTCAAGCATGTTCGTAATAGGTCAGCAGACCTCAGCAGCCCGCCTTACCAAAACCAACTGACGAACCAGTGAGTAAGACAAAGAGGAAGACGCAAAAAAAAGTCTTGCCTCTCTTATGCCTGGCAGATTAACAACATGAAAAACGCCCATTCGAACTGCACAGGTACGGGGGCATACACCTCGGACCCGACCGTTTCAAGCACATCAACAACGCGGCGAGGGAACTGCTCGTGTACTGTGGCGCCACCAAAGCAGACGCGGAAGTAGGGGGAGGCGGGGCAGGTGGGAAGACAAGGGTTCGACGGAAACGAGGCTCGGGAGGCGGTGGATCATAGATGCAAAAGTTGCGGCAGTACATTTGACAAGGGGGCGTTGGCGGTGCGTAGATGTGGCGGAACAGGTCAGCAGGTCCGTCCAGCACAACCTGGCGTCTCTCGAGGGTAGTTCGACGCTTCTTTCGGAGTTTAAGGGGAAAGATCATCAAACAGGAGACTCCCCTTTTGACAAGCTGCGAAAAAGCAACACAGAGCAACAAGAGAGCACTATCAGGTTGCAAGTGCGTTTGTCCACTACTGTTCGGGCTTGAACATGTGCCCATCCGTTGACATTCGGGCACGCGATTTCCTGCCTAGGTTGCGGAGAAGCAAACGAGATCCGCACATACGTAACAAGGCGCGTGTTCCGTAATCTTGTTAGTTGGAAGAAATTCGAAGCAGTCTGTGTCGAAATTCGAATCCAAATAGGGTTGGTTTCTGCGACGTATATGTTTTTTTTTCGAGGTATGTTCGTCTGGAAGAAAAGTGGGACTGCGGCATGGTGTCACTATGATATGCTCAGGCAACCCCTTGCTCAAAGGCAAATACGCCGTTTGTCCCAACCAAGAAACGGAATACCACGCACACAAACCCCTCTAATACCTGCGGCAAGTGGGAGGTTAAGCTCCTGTAACACCTATGTACCGTAAAAAATATTCGAAAAAATCGCGTAGATGAGGATCCCGGCCTATCTCCTGCAGATGAATTGGTGTGATGGTGTACCACATGAGAAGATAGACTTGTGGGTCCTCGCGTGGTTGTCCGTAGCGGCGAGAGCCGAACTCCAGGATATGGGGGAAGCAGACGGCAACCACAACCTAGTTCTCCTTTCCACGCCAGACAAAGCTTGCGTGAAGGTATACCTTCATAAAACAACGACAAAAGTGGGTGCCTTGCCGCCCAAGTCGCAGGTTGTAAGGCGTGTGTGTGTGATCTTCCCACCAATTTTGGACCCCGACACTTTTCGGTATATTTGTGACTCAGCAGCCTGGGCAAACGTTTGCCTATTGTTATTCGTGAAGAGGGTTCCGTGGGTATTCCCTCATTGTTGTATGTACTCACGACAATACGCTTCTGAATTCAAGCTGTTGTAATTGCATCTATTTCCTGTGCATCATCCTACGAACGCAGCATAAATCGCTCCTGTTGTGTTGGGCCACAGGCGCACGCGCGAAAAGCCTGTAAGACAAACAGTTCAGCCGGCGTCCTCTTTCAAACATTCTTTGAGGCAATATGCTTCAAATCAACACTTGGCACCCCGACTTTGTTACAGCAACAACCAGGCACGGCGGCGACGACGTGGCACCTAAGCCCCCATTCCTATAAGCTCCTTGTCTCAAGAACGAGACGGATTTCCTCGGCAGACTGGTATCCACAGACTAATCAGCAGCGCACAACGCTCAGAGGCCACAGTAGCACGACGATTCCGGCCACCTCGCCGCAGGGAAACGAGGGGAGGACACCATCTCGCCCGAAAACAGCAAAAGTCCTGACGCCAGGGACATCGACGCAACGACCAACAAGAGGCCATCGGCAGATTTCCCACGCCCTTCCATCACACGGCGTGGGTGTTGAACCCTCACTTGTTTTGCTGCTGCTGCTGCTGCTGCTGCATTTTCTGTTGCCGTTTCACACCTGCACATGGGGACGAGGGTCATTGCCGGCACATGGGACCCAGTGTATTCCTTTCTATCTGGCAACACTAATCTACGGAAGGACTTCAACAGGTTCCAACATGTTCAGTCTCTCGCACACGTAATTCATTTTCAGAAAATGCTCGAACGGGTTGAAAGTGTTGTGGAATAATCGTGGATGCCAAGCATGAACAATAGTACTTCTACAGCAAAGACATAAAAACCGAGGTCGAACGTGAAACACAAGTTTCTAGAGACAAGTTGAATGTGTACACAGCAGTTTTGATGATTAAGCCGTCGGCACGACCGAAACCAAGACCGGGACCGATACCAACTGTTCATCAAAACGTGAGCGCGTACACTCGTCGTTCCTATGACTTTACATGCGTGGTCGTTGGTCCTATTCACTCTTCGTTGCTGCTTTCACTGAAATAATATTTTGCTACCTGCACAGATCAATCTTGCTGCCTGCTGGGTGGTGTGTGGTGTGAACAAGGTTTCCCAGAGGGGCTTACCATCAACGTTCTGGCCCCTGTCTATAAATGCACCCAACGACCGGCCTTCAAGCAGCCTTGAATACAACAATACACTGAAACCACGAGAATTTACAACCAACAGAGTATCGCACTGCCTGAGTGATTGCACCAGATGGCGCCGTACAGCAGTGGACCTCGAATATGTGCTCCTCGAGCGTACCTGTCACAATTTTCCTGTCGTTGCTCCCGTCGTCGTAGCGTCCATCATTTTTCGCCTCTTTCTGCAGCCCATGAAAGGTGAAACCAAAGCTGATGCGCCTTGCGCTGAACCACCGTCGTTCAGAATGAGCGATGCCCTCTCTCGCCCTCTCTCCGCAACATCGTGCTCGTCAATCCCTGTCTCCGAGACAGCATCCCCGTCGCAGAGTTCCCTCTTGACACCTTCTCCGGCTCCCGTGGCTTCAGGCATGGACCCATCACTGCGAGATCCAAACTTGCGGACAATTCGCACCATCCAGGGTTTGTCTCTTGCGTGCCGGGTGCAGACCTCCGCCTTCGAGGTGGCACAAACGCCGAAAATCGGCAGGAGGGTGCAGCCTGGCGAGCTGCATCTCTCCCGACGGATATGGACCATTCCTTCGGTAGCGTGACGCCCGCAAAACTCACCCTTCTTGTTGCCCGGCCTTCCGAACGATGGCCACTCATTGCACAATGCATGACTGCACCTCAGCCCTCTGACCGTCACCATCCCTTCTGTAGCATGCGGTCCACAGAACAATGGAATCTTGCTCCCGACCGCACCATATGATGGAAATTTTGTGCATCCCGGGTGGGCGCATCCCTTGCTGACGACGTCAACCGCTCCCTCCCTAGCGTGCTGTCTGCAATGCTCCGCTTTGTCGGAACCTGCCTCGGCGAACTTTGCTCGAGTGGAGCAGCCTGGATGTACACAGGTCCCCTTTTTCATGTCCACCATTCCCTCCCCCGCGTGGGTGGGACAAAACCTAGCCTTTTTCGTTCCAACCGTTCCGAATCTCGCGAGCCCGGAGCAACCTGAGTAGCCGCATCGTCTGTGCGCAACGTTGACCATTCCTTCCCCGCGGTGTTTCGCGCAGAACTGTGCCTTCGTGCTTCCTTGTACACGATACGACGCGGACGTTACGCAGTTCTCGTGCTCGCAAATCTTGTGGAGGAGGTCAGTCATTCCTTCCTCCGCGTGCTGACGGCAAAACTTCGGGTCTTTGCTGCCAGGTACTCCATGATATGCACGGCGTACGCAGTCTTGGTACTCACATACCCTGTGGAACTTGTTGGGGATTCGTATCATTCCCTCCGTCGCGTGCCGACGGCAAAACGTCGCCGGTGCGCTGCCAGACACGCTAAACGCCGGCACGAGAAGACATCCTGGCTGACCACAGCTGCTTTTGGAGAGATCTACCATCTCCTCACTTGCGTGTTGAGGGCAGAATCTTGGTCCTTTGCTGCCAGGTACTCCACGACATGCACGATGTGCGCATTCCGGGTACTCGCATACCCTGTGGAACTTGTTGGGGATCCTACTCATTCCTTCCGTCGCGTGCCGACGGCAAAACGTCGCCGGTGCGCTGCCAGACACGCTGAACGCCGGTACGAGAAGACATCCTGGCTGACCGCAGCTGTTCTTGGAGAGATCTACCATCCCCTCACTTGCGTGTTGAGGGCAGAATCTTGGTCCTTTGCTGCCAGGTACTCCATGACATGCAGGACGTGGGCAGTCCGGGTATTCGCATACCCTGTGGGCCTTGTTCTTGGGGATTCGAACCATATCCTTCGACGCGTGTCGACGGCAAAACGTCGCCGGTCCACTGCCAGACACGCTGAACCGCGGCACGAGAAGACATCCTGGCTGACCACACCTGTTCTTGGAGAGATCTATCATCCCTTCCCCCGCGTGGGTGGGACAAAACCTAGCCTTTTTCGTTCCAACCGTTCCGAATTTCGCGAGCCCGGAGCAACCTGAGTAGCTGCATCTTCTGTTCGAAACGTTGACCATTCCGTCTTCCGCGTGTTTCGCGCAGAACTGTGCCTTCGTGCTTCCTTGTGCACGATACGACGCGGACGTTAAGCAGTTCTGGTGCTCGCAAACCTTGTGGAGGAGGTCAGTCATTCCTTCCTCCGCGTGCTGACGGCAAAACTTCGGGTCATTGCTACCAGGCACTCCACGACATGCACGGCGTACGCAGTCCGGGTACTCACATACCCTGTGGGCCTTGTTGGGGATCTTGATCATTCCCTCCGTCGCGTGCCGACGGCAAAACGTCGCCGGTGCGCTGCCAGACACGCTGAACGACGGCACGAGAAGACATCCTGGCTGACCACAGCTGCTCTTGGAGAGATCTACCATCCCCTCACTTGCGTGTTGAGGGCAGAATCTCGGTGCTTTGCTGCCAGGTGCTCCGTGAGACCTCGCTGTGGCGCAACCAGCTTTCATGCACGGCCTCGCGACACCAATCATATCCTTCGTGGCGTGTCGACCGCAGAACTCCTTCTTTTCGCTGCCATACGTCCCATACGCGGCAACCGCGTAGCAACCTTGATGTTGGCAATGGTTGCCTTCTACAGAGACCATCCCCTCCTTGGCGTGCGGCTTACAAAACAACGCTTCCTTTCTTGGGCAACCGGCCACACCATAGCTCGCCTTTTTAGGGCAACCAGGATGCCTGCAACGGTTTTGCACGGCAACCATTCCCTCCTTAGCGTGCGGTCCACAGTACTCCGCTACCTTGCTGCCAGCAACGCCCTTGCTGGGGTGCTTGCCGCAACCTGGATGAGCACACCTCTTCTTGTTCCGTACGTCCTCCATCCCTTCCAAGTGGTGAGCAAAGCAATACTCAGGCTTGCCACGAACTGCCATGCCGTACGTCGGCTGCTTGAGACACGCGGGGTGGGCACATCTCTTGTTGGTGACACAAACCATCCCCTCAAGAGCATGCCTTGCGCAGTACTCTGCTACCTTGCGCCCACGAGTTGACTCGTAGCCATACGTTGACAATGTGGTACAGCCTGGCTGGGCACACTCCTTGCGGTGATTGTTGACCATTCCTTCCGGTTTGTGCGTGAGGCAGTAGAGTCTCTGCTTGGTGCCGGCCGCGCCTGTTCAACACAATGTTGCACCGAGGATCAATAGGAAATTGCCGATGAAGTTCAAGACTCGATACCGTAGGTGGCACAAGGCACCACACCAGTGGGTCAACATGTGACAAAAAAACACTACGTGACGCTAATGCTATTTTCGATACCAGTATCGTAAGGGTTTAAACCGCTCGAAATGCTTCGAAACCAAGTTCATTGTGTTGCCGCGGGTCTCAGCTATCGCGAACGCCATCGTTTGTCCCAGAAGTGAACGGTGGTTGCCGAGATAGGGCCCAATACGATCGTGTGGACCCACCTCTCGGCGGTATCGTAGACAGCCTTATCTGCGCTATCGTAGATAGTCATATCTGCGGCACCGCCCTTATACGAAAGCATTCAAAATCACCTCCACGGGCTCGAAACCAACTGAGCTGTGCTCGCACAGCTCCCAGCAGTTACACAAGCGGTCGTTCGGCCCAAACCGATTTACGGTTCTTGAGAAATGCCCCAGAATGTGGCCACAGCAACCCATACGGCGGTGTCGTAAATAGGGCCTATCTATGGTCCATGTACAGCAACTTGTGCATTCATGTTTTGTGCGATAACTTTTGAAAGAAACAGAAAGGAGCTGTAAAACAGCGTTATTCGTGATCATCTTGTCGAGCTACGTCGATAGCTTGGGATTTCTGTTTTTTTTCGAGAAAATGCATCATCGTTGGCCAAAATATGATCCACGGGACTCCCTTGAAGACCGCGGAGCCCCTATGTAACCACGTTGCCCCCATACTATCACCACGGAGCCCCCTCCGAAATTCCTCAGGCGCACGCATCGAACAAGAGTTTTTCTCGAAAAAATAAATAAACCGATTACGGGGATTGACGAGAGGAATCGTTTGCCGCACTCAATTATAAAATCGGCTAGCAGGATCTCGTATACAAAAATGTTCCAGTTGGCGTCCTAGATCCGGTTTTTGGTCGATAACTTGAATCAATTCTCGAATATTTTCAAAAACAGAAAAAAAACATTCACAGCGAATGCCGCGATCTAGTCAAATCCCTTGAGATGTTTGAAATCGGCAAACTACACCACCCAAATAAAACAATCAAGATTATCTACTTACTCAAGAATACTCACGAATAAAGAGACAACGAAGGAAAAAAACAAAAAGTAGAACAATAGCGACCTGCGCCTGGAGACAGGGCGTTTGCCGGTGTTTTCGGATTTCGGAAAACCACCCCTACCCCGAGAAAGGTGCACCTTGGTGCTGGGGAAATTATGGACCAATTGCTGTGCATGGACCATGCGATACCTTTCGAAGCTTCTTAAAACCGCCTCCAATGGGCATGAAACCACCTGCGGTGTGTTCAAAAGGCACCCAACTGTCCGACAAGTTGTCGTTCGGCCCAAATAAACACGTAGTCGTAAAAACAAATTGCGATACCGGAGTAGAAAATTCCATTACCGCTCACGAGTTGAGCACAGAATTAGCCAATATGAAAGCCCCCGCTGTGGGAGCCCCGCGTCATGAATAACTACCGCACAACCCTACAAATTCTTTGTCAATCTACTACGGACTCCCATCTATGGAAGAAATCGAAAGATATACTATCTGTCGCTACAACGAGCGTAACCTGACAGATGTAACTGCCGTCAGACGTGTGCATCCACGGGCGGAAACAGAGTGCAAACACCACACACTTGATACTACACCTGCCTGCTGTGCGCTGGTGTGAGAGCTGTGGTAACGTTAACTTTCACGTACCGGTTACCTCCCCCACCGTCCACATCCCGCTTTCGTGGTCAAACATACCCCCAGCATACTATTGTAGTGCTGAACCCCCTGTTCCCTTTTTGTTTTTTCGGTGTTCTTCCAACTGCCAGCGAAATAGCAGGACACAAGTCAGTTCTCGTCACCTAGCGCACCAATCGTCATGGCACCACTTCGAGCGTGTGCTCCATTGCGATATTTCGGGGCGTGATAGTTGTGTTAGGCATGGGTGCTGTGTGTGGGAAGATCTTTGTGGGGGCGTGGAATCCATATCGTTCTTTTTGGCCCGGGCAATCGGGCCGCATCGCCAGGCGAAAAAGCCAAACCGGATTTGACATCGCCACGATGCTCTCGCCACATACAACACCCATGCCCAACACAACGATCACGCCCTGAGACACCACAATGGAGCACACGCTCGAAGTGGTGCGATGGCGATCGGCGTCCTAGGTTTCGAGAACTAATAATGTGGTGCTGTGCGCAGGTTGCTGGCAGTTGGACGCGGCGGTAACAAAAAAAAATGCGCGAGAGCAATACATAGCCTCATCACACCACATAGAGTCCAGCGGCATCGAGCCCAGATGCTGGCGCCCGCTGTGCGTGTGTGTCGCCCGTTATGCGTACCCTGTCTGCTGTGTGGTGTCGCCCGCAGTGCGTGTGTTCTCTGCTGCAATCCGCTGTGTGCTCCGAAAAAAAACAAAGTTCATTTACTGACCCCTGTAGCGTAAAATCAAGTAATGTACTCTAAAACCTAGATTAAGCGAACAGACTGTACAACCTCTTTGTTCTGGATGGAGCCTATATTGCGCTGTCTCCGCAGGCAAGATTAGAAATCTCGCTTCGCTCGAAGACACAAAAAAAAAAAATCGCAGTTGTCGGGACTTGCAACCCGGGTATATTTCACATATCCAGCTCTCGTCCTCTAGACCATCGATTCATGTTTTGTCTTCTTCCGTGTCTTCTCCATCAACGACTCTCATCCGGTTGTGCGTGGGTTGGCAGTGGCCGCGCTCAGCCGGCAGGGAGGCACATCGTTGTGCGCGCAAAGTCGTGGACACAACGTTTTTTTCGGTTTATTTTTTCACTTGAATATAGAGGGCTTGTTCCTCCGTCCCAAAAAGACTTTTTCAACATATCGAGTTCACAGCGACGCGCCTCCCTGCCTGTTGAGTACGTCCACTGCTGAACCACGCACACCCGGACCCGGATGAGAGCCGTTGATGGAGAAGACACCCAAGAAAACAAAACATGAACCGATGGTCTAGAGGACGAGAGCTGGATAGTTTGTACTCACCTCTCCTCTCAAGCAGCCGACTTTTTGCCGTTCGGAGACACAAACCACGCTTTCTCCGTGCCCTCCAAACTCCAAACCACCCCTGTCTGTTTATTTTTTAGTGCACGCTTGACGAGCTCCCGCCATGTATCAGCCGGCAAAACATTGACACGGTGACTCTAGGGTTGTCCGGATCCCTCTATGAGCTTGCTACGTTGAGTGTGCGCTGCGCAGTGGTTGGTGTTTAGGACGGAAGGGGCGGTCGGCTACTAATCTCGCCGCTCTTGGGAAACATTTTCGCGACCTGCCCCATTTCAAAATGTTTTTGAGAATATTTTGTCAAACGAGCGACTTTTGCCCCATTTCAAAATGTTTGAGAATATTTTGCCAAAGATTTTCTCCCATAAACAGTGAAACAAAATCTTTATCCGCAAATGTTTGAAGATATAAACATTAACATTTTCGCAAAGATTTGGCGACCATAAGGGCGTATATTAACGAAGAGCCGAAAATCAAAATCCAAATGGGCACAAAATCAAAATCAAAATGCGTTATCGTGGAAAACTGAAAAAAGAGGGTCGTGTATTGTATGTTAACGAGGATAGGAGACAGATGAGGCAAAAAATCAAAAAGACCTGGCGCCAGGGGAAGAGCCAGCAGCGAAGCGGTGATTTTTCTAGGGTGCGTTTTACGCTCTTCTGTTCACGTGTTAGCCGATATCTCGCCAAATACTGAACGAGTTGCGTCAAGAACGGT